GGTATGCCAACTTGCATACATAATTCGTATTTTGAGATAGATATAGTGCTAGAATGATTCCTGCTTGAAACACTGTTAGTGGGATAACTCACATCAAGCGCATGGATTCAATTGGTTACTTTCAAATGGCAATCACCATGTTGTTGGGGATCAAGGTAAAATAACAGCTAAAAAATTGGCAAATCTATCCACCTTCGAAGTCTGAAGAATTGGAGTCGTCACAAAATGTAAAGTTGATGAGATACACCCCGACGTGGGTACGCTGCACCCAAACAATGAAACTTGTCAAGAACATTAGCCGCTTGCTTTCCAAGCACCGTTTGCCAATCCGACCAGTCCCAATCTTATCTATGATGAGTAAATCTAGAGATCTCGCTGAACAACCATGTATATCATCAACTAAGCGACATTTTCACTTATCCCATATTATCATAACATGATTGTAATGTTTATACCTCAGAACGCAACAGCAAGGCCCAATATATCGGCAGTAAGTACTAGGCCTCCAGCAACAACCCCGGTTTGTTTCGTAGCTAGAGCACTAGAGGTAGAAGTCGATCGTCCTTTGCTGTTTACTGGCATATTTGTCGCTGTTGCCTGGACTTGGATATGGGATATGTAACTTTTAAACGGATGAGGGTAGGTTATTAAACCAGTCCGGGGTGTTACTGGCTTTCATTTCACTGGAAATAGAGCTGCGGCCTTCTCGATCTAGTAGACTTCGACAGGCAGTTTGTGGGATAGCGGTAGCAAATATTTGAATGAGCGATTCTGGCGGGTCATCGAGCTTTGCCAATATTGGTGGCCATTCAATTCTTGCTGGTGCTGTCATGCTTCCTGCTCTGCCAGTTGGTATCACATGTTCCAACGATTTGCTGCAGTTTTATGTTAGTTACACCTGAAAACATACTTAGAATCTGAAGCCCTGATTCCTTACATCTGCTCTTGGAGGTGGCTAAGATCGCTTTTATAAGTTGGTGTCGGGTCCTGCGCCGCCGCGAAGACGATCCCAGTGAGGAAAACCAGCATAGAGAGAAAGAGGCTTCATGATTATGGAGATAAAACAAGCACTTGGTGCGACTGGATATGGCCGAGAAAATGAACGGAGGAGGGAATATACGTAAAATTGTAGCAAATAATGCAGCTCGACGAAATTTTGGTTTTTCTCTGGGATTCTTCGCCTTTTGGACATAGTAGCTGACCCTATCTTAAAGGAGTCCGTTTAGGGTTGTCTCTAAATCTCCACATCGGAGCTAGCCATGAGGGTCATAGAACAAGGGTGGATATATGAGGAAATAGAGGTAGTCACGCTTTAGCTGCTATGGCCTGATCATATGCTCGAAGAAAGAACTTACATGACCTACCTAGCACCGTTCACATAAGGCAGATGATCACTCCATTGTCTTGACTCAACAGGCCAATGTCTCGGCTCCGACAGATGTACTGGGAGGTTAGAACGTAAATTTTGTTGACATGGCTATAAACAGCCTCAAACGGTTCCCATATGTTGGCGTGGGAATCCCGAGTTCAACGGACGTTTGCTGCTTGTTGTTATCTGGGATGTTTTCAAATAGCTGAAATATCACGGTAAGTTAAGTTAACCTTGTTAATCAGCGAGATCATGTGACAAGTTAGCGATCCCTCTCGAACAACGGGAGCCCTGCGCAGGAAAAATTTTAGATAGATACTAGTTAGCAGAGCTTAAAAGGTGATTTCTTTTCGTACTCGAAACATGATATTTCCCTAGTGACTGATGTTTCAATGGTTACTTAACAACAGTCTGCATATCGTAGATGATCCGCGAAAACAGCCCCTTTTAATCGATATCACTACCACGGGATGGATAACCGTCGTTTCCCTAAAGGGCTGGCGGCCTCTGCCGGTTGTTGACCTGTCCCGCCAATGGGAATGTCTTAAGAGTATTCGAAATATCATCATACAATGATGGCGATGTCAGGGATCGACGGGCCTTCCCCAGCAACACGCTCTGCAGCCAAATACACAACTGGGAAGTCAGGGCCACCTTTAAAAAACAATTTAGGCCTTCAGGACAGGTCAATATGCCTCAGGTCATTGTCCTTTATCCATCTCCTGGAGAGGGATAAATATGCGTGTGGGTGAGAAAACGTGCCCGGAACTAGTTGATGTTCTAAGGCTACACAATTTGAAGACCAGATGGATTGGAATGGCTGCAATTGATAACAGACAAGAAATATGGATAGACTCTATGGTCCGAACATCAGCCAAAGGAAGACACTTCTTAATAAAGTCCAGTGGCTTGCCAATCTGCACCACGAGGGGTTGTCTCGTAACCAGGTACAGTTGCGGCGCAGCTGGATGACGTCATTATTGAGAGTGATCCAATTCTGCCTCTACAGGCTTGCTCTTCTTTTTCTCCAATGTTATATTCTCCTTCTTATCCCTTTTTGGGTGTACACCCCTTCTATTCCTCGATTTTCTCTCCTTCAACCCTTTGTTTTATTCGGAGGAGAATCTGGCAGAAAGCCCATTTCGGCTGCTTCAGAAAAAGTGACGGTGCTGATGTTAGTGCACATAATTCACAATATCTGCACGTCATCGTTCGCACGTGTGGACCTAATCCAACAATGGCTAAGTGGTGCTAGCACACAATATTGCTAGGTAATTACTCTCTTTCTCTTCCACCTGGGCGCTCTACCAACCTACGCGATGTTCAAACATCGGTTCAATCCTTGAACATGCTTCGCAGCGTGACTCCAAAGAAATAGACAACTCTTCATGTCAGGAGTTTCGGACCGCATCTAGCCGCGATCGACGATAAATAATGCTTCGGAAGAACAGGCCCAAGCGGACAGGGCTAAGAAAGAGCTCACGCTTGATCAAGCTCTGTCGAGCTGAACTGCGGAAACGACGATGATCAGTATTCGGGGAGGCTATAGAATCGGGAATTTATTCCCAACTTGTGTAACCCTGCCATCAGCATTCTGACCACCTATCCTCGGAACTTTTATATCAACCATGAGAATTAATGCTAGCAATGAGGCGTCCACAAACTACCCGTTCAAATATACGACAGCATTACTCGAGGAGAACCGTAGAATGCTCAACATTGAGTCTTGCTTCGGAAATACGGTGCACATATCATATCCGGATGCGCATGAGTTCCGTTCCCCTTGGGAGGCATAACGACTGATTTCAGAACATTTCCCACAGCACAAAACTTTTCTCAGCCTCACTCGTTAGTCGCAAAATAAAATTAAGCTGCAGAACTTATGTTCGTGGGGTTAAAGCATTATTCCTATTTTCATTGGTGCTCCATCCGCCTCAGAACCATGGAATCCATCTGATCATGTCCTACCAAATCGGGATATTGGATTAATCAACGTACAGTTTGTGCCCAAGCCCACTTCAATACAAGAATCCGGGGTTTTCCTTAGGCACTAGCTTCGAAAGACGTCCAGCCATTCGCGATATTGGCCTGCTTTAGGGTTAGTGAAACAAATTTTGCAAGTTATTCGAAGTTCTGGAGATTTCATACACGGCTGCGGGGAAAGGAAGACCTTCTTCTCATGAGGTGCCGTTTCCAGACATTTGGTCTCACAGACACAGCTATTTACCGGATTTGACCGAAGGCTAGCATTGAATCATTTTTCTGTTCTGCAGGAGGAGTTGGTTGATCCTAGTTAAAAAAAACCTCCGGGCTACGACACGCAATGTTCTGCCACCTTTGGTGTTCGGACTTAAAAAATCTACGCGTTTCATGGTATAGTCGCGATGGAGGACACAAGAGAGCATTCTATTCCATTACCACATTTTATGACTGTCCATGTTTGCCTGAGACGAATGGCGATAAAACCTGAGATGATGCCTTCCCTCCTTGCAAGAGTCGGCAAGCCTTTGTAATAAGTCGCTTTCTCAAGGAGATCATGCAACCTGGGGTAAAGCGATTAGCTAGGGAAACATTTCATAGATATATTCACCAAAAGAGTTCAAACCAGGACAATAAGGGTGAACACTAACGTGCTTAAATATTGGACGATTATGAACGATCCGCGGGCGCTAACAAATCGTCACTGTTAAACCAGAAATCATCTAAGGACCACGCAATGGCTAATAAACACAATTTTATAAATTCTAGTGTGCCAAAATATAATTTATTGCCTTCCGCCAAATTCGGCATTTGAATGAAGAGAAATCACTTTCCAGCGTAGCTGAGAGCCCGCCATCCTATCATACTGTTAGGAACGCACCGGAATCACTTAAGCCCAGCTAGAAAATGTTGACTGCTTTCACGAATCAGAGTCTGATGCTCACCTCCAGTCGTCAATGGCAAACCACACAATCCCAACGGCCGAACCTCTGTCCCAACCTAATATGTGGCAGCGCTCAAGGGGCCGGAGTAGATGAAAACTTGCTTGGGACTCCCACACTCAAGAAACCGTTCATGTGAACTTCATGGCCCGATATTCAATAATGCGGGGCAACCATAGCGTCGGCGTCCTGTCGAATTTGTGACAGTTTGCGCTTGGAAGGGGGTTTGAAAAGGGAGCACAAGTTAAATAGACGAAAATGGGGTATATGAACACCATACAAGTCCAAGGCTGCCAGCAGTTGTGACAGGCCACTTGTGCAAAAACAGATGAAATTTGAGACGCTTTTTTCCCCCTTTATTCCATAGTTTGGAAATACGAAACTTTCGACCTTGAATTATCGTTGGGGTCCACAATACAATGATGTAGTCGAGTCGGTCATAACCAGGCGCTGAAGAATTAATATATATATCACTCGTCCACGGTCTCCAGTCCATGCTAGATGACAACCTCCAATCTCCTAGTTGATTCAACCTATCTTGTCCTCTTAGACAGCAATTGGCCGTGAAGAAGCCCGAAGCCCGGAAAACCTGGATTTTAGGAGCACGCAGAATCTGTGTTGCCGTAGTAGCACGTAGGATTTGATATTTTAAATCGCGCATTATGTCATCAACTTGTCCACTTCCGTATTAGGCCGCCATAGAGTAATTTGCCAGTTTGCATAATGTTATTGGGAGGAGTCGGATCTGCAAATGATGCCTCGCAAAGTCTTGCTAACCACCCAAATATGATTTGGTCTTCCTGGCCCTATCAGCGGAAAAGGCCGTTGTCACGCGGGCCAACCCCGATTCGGTGCTCTGGAAGGATTGTCGTGAAGCTAAAACCAGGGGAGATATAAAGGAGGGAGGGGTTGAAGCTGGGGCCAGGCGCTAGGAGGTCGCTCGGATCCTTTGACACGGTTAGAAAACGGGCCTAGTGCTCTCAGCGAATACGAAAAGAATGTTGGATTTCCTGATTTGACGAGACATAGTATGTAGGCCATTCCATCATTTTGCAAGCTCTCCCTCGAGATGAGTGGCTAATTCTTAAGGTGGGGGTGAAACTTGGTGCGCCCGTCGCCGGTGGCTTAGGCTGTCAACATGCTGATGCGCTGTATTTGAGGAGTGCTGACCCGACAGTATGGTCATTCAAGAACTTCAAAACGGATATGTTGTGGAAATTCGGCGACTGAAAACAAGATGCTATTTTGTTAGTTTACGATCAGGCATCTATCAGGCCTCCAGGGTGATCGTTTGTTTCTGCTGCTGCTGCTCCACAGTCACGCCTTTCTGCAGATTGATATGGAAGTCCTCAATATGGTATTTGAGGAGCTGGGGATGACCCAGTATTTACCAGGGTTTATTGGCAATGGCTTCGAAACATGGGAAGACGTTTTGGAAATCACTGAAGTTGATTTGTATGATTTTAACTCCTTCTGTTGATGTACAGAGTGCTGATGTGAGAAGAGAAGTGTTGGGTGTCAAATTGGGCCATCGAAGGGTATGTTTTCGTCAGCCACAGTGTGCTCTCATCATGCTCACTTGTGATGTAGAGACTACAGCAGCGAGTTGCAAAGGAAAAGAAAGATGTCCCCAATCGGCAGGCACAACACGGCGAATTCGGAAACTATTCCAGAAAGAAGAGACGATATCAGTGGCATCCTAAGGTTCGGATCCTTGACTCAGAGCGTGCTGGTTAACAAGTTAGACTGTACCACACCCGAGAAAATATATAAGGTGTCTAATTAAAGCCATACACCCACAGCCTGACCCGAACGCCCCCAGAAAACCGTTGACAGCCTATGCCATCTTTGCTAACGGTATGTTTGACAAAAAATCATAATAATTTCAGAATGATGCTCAAAGAAGAATGTCCATAGAAAAACGAGCAGACCTCCAGTACAAGGGTTTATCATTTCCTCAGATGGCAATCGAAATTGGGAGGCTTTGGAGAGAATTGCCCGAAGGCGAAAAGAAGATCGCTCAAGCGCGTGCCATCCGCGCACGACAAGAATACAAGCTTGCTCTTGCGGAGTATGAAAAGTCAGAAAATTACCGGAGCCATGTCAGATATCTAGACGAATGGAAAGCGAAGAAAAGTGCGAGGAAGAAAGGTAGCTAGCTCCCCTTGATGGTGGTTTTTATATGATGGGATACTGACACATAGTTCAATAGCCAGAAATTCCGAAGCGAAGGCATCCCACAACGCTACTAGCTCGCCTCAGGACACTGAAAGAAGTCTAGAATCGGCTGAAATTAAGATAGAAAGCCAATTGGGCAACGGACTTGGGGACGAGATTCTGGAGACTGTTCTACCGACCCAATGGGTACCAGTGTCTCCGGAGCAGCAAATGGAACATACGTGCACCGCATTCGTGTGGCCACCGTCCCAGAAGGACATACAGAATCACATGGGGCGAGACAGGGGCATTTTTGATAATACTCTTGCTGGCCTAAGCAATTTGGAAAGGAGTATGCAGGGCGGAGGTTTGGAAGTCGTATTCGAAGATGCTGGAATGGGGTGCAACGTATTTTGGGCGGAGGCGAATCATCACTAACGACAGCACTTATTATAAAACTGGTCCTGGCCGAGCATAGCTTACCCTGGTGCGAGGTGATGTAGCGCGGCGCAGTGCAGGTGTCAAACGGCCTCGCAGTCAAGTTCGAATCAATATGAAATATTGCAGTTTTCGGGAGAGTTGAGTCAGGGATAGGGCTAATGAGCATTTCATTCAGTTCCCATCCTACAGCTTACCAATAATTAATTGATCTCTGGCTTGGGCATTAACAAATATATATAATATATATACATTTGTTTTTGCCCTATCTCCACTTTTGGGTTGATATCGCCCTATATATCGACGTTGCCGCACGATTGTGGGTCGGTAGTCAAGGTAAAAAAAATAAAGTCTGGAAGAATGTACTTCTTTAAGCTTAGCTTCAAGCAGAAACAGAAACAGGAAAATAAAAAACTATTTAAATGGTCTATCATTGACCGAAGGTTCCCTATTATTTGTCGATGGTTCTACGATGTAGTTAAGGGGGACAGAAGTTCGACAGAGCCGCACAGTCGTGGTGCGGTGGGGAAGAATGTTTTCCCGAGCAGTCTTGGTCCACCGCATCCATAACCACCTCACTACATAACTACTACCCCTGGCTAATTGAAGTCTCATAAGCTGCTGGCACTTTCTATATAATAGCTAATGCCATTCAAGGGCTTGCTGATTCCCCGACTGCACCAATGATGCCGCTCGAAATACATTTCTTTAAGGAATATGATCGCGTGCGATCGCGGTAGCATTGAAATGCTTCCTCAGCCCCCTACCTAGCCTTGGAAGGAAGACCATACAAGGGAAACAACAGCACTTTCACTCTGCATTCCTGTTTGGCAGCATATGAAAGTATTGTGCATGCGTGTACATTGTATGGTACACTTGCTTTACAGATGTTAAGGAGATGCAGAACCTTCAAATCCGACACAGCGCGGATCGATTTTTTCAAGTATTGCGCCTCTGGACAGGCTCCGTTCCCTCACCAATAATCCACACCCTCAGCCAATGGTGTGATAATATTATTACTAGCCAACACGACTACTTCCATGCTAATTTTGCTTGAATACACTTCAGCAGCTGCCCTGACAAAACCAGGCTGGAATGAGGTGACCTCTCTCTGGCATTCTTCGTGCGACCCATTAATTCGGGATTTGATTTACTTCATAACTTCAAGGATCAGTGTGCGGTTCAATCAAATAATAAAGGCGAACCCTTATTCACAACAAATCCTTGACCATGTTTTTTTTTTGGATTCTTGTCACCCAAGACTTTCTGATATTTCACTACCCTCCTCGAAAAGTCAATCAATGGTTACTTTCAAAGGTATTACTGAAGAAGCTAGTAAAGAAAGCCCCTCCATTGCAGCTCGCTGATGAAAGCTGACAGAATTCTGATATTTTAAATTCCTGAAAATATTTTGGTAGCCGAAATGTCTCCAGCTCCGCCGAAGCCTTCAATTATCGGATGAAGGCCAGGATCTTCTAACTTAGGTGAGTAGACGCTGTTCAATGCACGGGGCTCATCCCAAGCAAAACCCATTTGGCTATCTGGGCAACATCCACTACGGCTACCGACACTTAGAGACGAATTTTAGCCAGGGTGTCGGGTCATTCAAAGTTCTCCAGTTGTGTGAACGTCCCATGTCGTCATTTTTTTGATAGCACTGGCTGAATCGTCAATGCTTTTTCTATGGTGTTCGTGTCATTTAATTCGATACAATGCCAAGGGCGAGTTTCTATTTTTCTAGTATCCCGAGGAGCTGCGTCATAGATAGAGTATCCGGACATTGCGACATTTTCTAGGAGAGATTTTGTGAGTAGAAATTTTTGTTTTCTTTATACCTAAATTGACAGTGCTAACATGTATCACATTTCGTGCTGCTGCATATATCTAAATGCACTCTCCGATATTTAGGGTTTTATTATATCGAGTCAAAGCCATTTTTCTGCCTGATGCTAGCATTGATATAATGCTGGACGAGCACCTCTACGTTAATGTTAAGTCCCTCGTTTTCAGAATATCGGCTACACTGAGCGCCTTGATGCTTTCATAGTCAAGCCCTCTTTTACATAAAGGTCGGTTCAAATGACGTACGGTATGACACATGTCGATTTTGGGTTTGTGGGCCTTCCACCTGATGCAGCCATGCCTGAAGTTTTATTTTACTCTCATTAAAGGTATGGTGATGGTACATCTCGTGTTAACCAGAATCCTGCACACACTTTCGGTATTGGGATAGTCTACCTTCGGCTCAGAAGCAAGCATCTGGTTTGAACTGGTTAGCGTTAGCTCCTTTACTGCTTGCTCAGCTCCATCGGTTCAAGGGTACGTCAGCCTATGCCAAGTATGCATTCCTTTACACAATTTCATTCAATAGGCCAATGCATTAGAAAATCTAAGGTCAGGATAACATATACGTGTGTTTGATTGGGTCATTATATCAGCATCACGTCGAGGTCGATAATAGCAAAGGGGTCAGTGCACTCGTAGCAGATGTATCCGTTGTCATCTGCACGCGCGGTGATGTGACAGCTAAAGTCGCATTTTATTTTTAGTTCTGCTCTGTCCCGGAAGACCTTCTAGCCCTTTCGTGAACGACGGTGTGTCTGGACTCCCAATTGTATGGGCTTGGATCGAACCCTGGATTTGCTCGCCTCGCCGAAGGACTTCAACGCAGGAGAGAATTGTTTCCCTATTGGGTAAGCAAGCGATCCCTAGCGGGTTACCATCTGCATACGCTACTTTGAATGCGTTAAATATTAGTTTGCCCTACCAAATCTTTTCTTGACCATCCAAGCTCAACGCAAGGCGGCCTTACGATCGCTTGGAATCCCTGGCATGCAGTTCTCCATGTCATATGGATGCCAACTCGTCCCCACTCGTCCAGGCTTTGACGGGTTTGCTGATGTAACAAGTGTGAATATAGAAAGGGGTCCGAGTATGGGTACATGGTCTTAAAGGAGCTAGAACTACTACTACCTCATAGTAACTTACACCTCTCTCCCGACCATTCATTTATCAATGAGGATATTACTTATTACTCTCATTGTGTGAGAACTTACACTTAGTCCCGTCATTCTAATTTACAGGGAACAGTACCGCCAGAACCGCTGGTTACTTTTGATTATATCCTACCCCAATACATAATGGATCAGTCAGCACATAAAATCCTCCGAGCGCAAGGTCAACCGCAGAATTATCCCCTAAACATCTTCAACTTGCCCAATTATTCAAATTTTCCAAATACTTTCATTGAACCAACTGAAACGGCGAACCGCACCATGTCCTCTTCTTCTCCTACCCGAGCTGATTCAAAGATTGCAATACCTAGGCTTCGGCGGCCAGGTCAGAATCAGCCATCACCTGCTAGCGAAAGGCACAGAGTGAGCCATGCTTGTGATCCATGTCGCAAACGGAAATCAAAATGCGATGGTCTTCGACCCGTCTGTTCACGTTGCAGAGACCAAGAGATAGCCTGCGCTTATTTGGATGGCAAACGGGAAAAAATGAAACGGTCAGTCCTGATGCCGCTGGGAATCCAAGCCTCTTTGAATTTTGTGCGACGCTTCACAAAAGCTTATACAATTTGGACCACAACTTCCGTCTTTCCAATTCCAATAATTTTCCTCGTTCTTATGCTTTCCTTGATTTCTTTTCCTAAACTAAGCCAGTGTGTGGTAGATACACCAAAAGCAATGCTGCGAAGGTGACTGTGTATGAGAAGCTCCTCTATGACATCCTTCCACACCTGAAGCCTGAAATGCAATTAACAGTCCGGACCACACTACTAGAGGTAAATCAGAGAGATTTTCTCCATGAGGGATACCAGTCGATTGATCATTTGTTCCGGGTTGTAGCGTATCGCGGGGGACTCGCTAACCAATCGCAGTGTCGAAATCTTGCGGAAGATGATAATTCGACTCCAATCGAAGCTACAGGCTCAGGAGATGAAGATGAATATGCAGCGTCCGCCGGTGCTGGTTCTCCACGATTCCAAGATCGCATCCAACCAGACTCTGCGGGTTTTGTGATAACCACAGGATTCCTTGGAAAATCTTCTGTCACGAGATGGATTGAAGAACTGGCGACAAAACTATTGAAATATTTCGGGCCAACGTGTTAAGTTTCTCTCCCGGCTGAGTTTCTGACTTCTTTCTAATTTTATGGATTTTTAGCGGAAGATATTTTGAACGGAGAGCGCATCTTCGCAAGTTTCGATGAATTTTACAAATGCGTACTTAAAGAATGCACTTACTTTCTCGATGATGAGTACTTAGAGAAATTTCTAGTAGTCAGGAAAACTGGAAACAGCCCGCCAAAAATGTTCAAAAAAATCGACAACCAGTCTGAACCCCTTCAAAAAGAAATGGCTGACATATTTCTTAATTCATATTTCCTAACTGTCCACCCAATGTTCCCAATACTTTCAGAGGAGGAGTTCAGAGTACATTATGAAATTTATTACCAAACAGCCATCTATCCCAGTCATGTCTGGCGCAATATCTTGCATGTCGTTTTCGCCATTGGTGCACTTCACGCGCTTCGTATACAAGTTCCGTGCAGCGTCGTTGAAAATGATCATGTTATGTACGCATTCCGTTCTGGTGCATTAGGCCGGAGTTCGACTCATCTTGGGGATATTCCATCTATGGAAGAGCTGCAGTTGGCCGCAATCAGTGGATTGTATTATCTTACGAGCCATCACATTAACAGGTAACATGATACGCACCTAGTCCGTGGTGACAGTTAACTAACAAGGTTTAATCAGAGCTTGGAATGTAATCGGCCTGGCGGTGCGTTTTGCGCAGACACGGGCTCTTCATTTGGTCAACACGAGTACTGAACTTTCGGAGGGTGAACGAGAATTCGAATTAAGAGTTTGGCATTCCATCAGCTCAATGGAACGTTTTCTCTGCGTCCTCACGGGGCGGCCTTCATCACTTCAGGATCGTTTTACTAGTGCCCGTTTACCCCGACCAATGGATTTTCCATCCACAGGGCCCCTTGCATACAATGCCTCGCGAGCAGCAATGGCAGCAATGTATCCACCTTCTAACACTACCCCAGTGACCAGCTCCGCTATTCCGCCATGGACCATCTTCGTCCGGTGTCTTCGCCTTGATTTAATTATCGCCGAGGCTTTGGAAGAGCTGTATAGCCCTAGCACAGTAAACCGAACTTGGGCTGGCGTGCAGAACTTAGTTTTAGATTTAGACAAGAAGCTCGCCCAATGGAGGGACGATCTTCCCCACAGAATTCTGGACCTTTCGCCAGCTTCTAAAGGACTTCCACCCCTGGATCAACGCATGTATCTGAACCTCCGCTTCTATGGAGCGTGCATTCTCATCAACCGCCCATGTTTTTGTGAGGCTCAACAATTACGTGACGCAATCCCGTCCCAGTCCGCAACTTCGAAAAGAATGGACGAAGATGCCGCTATCAGTTGTTTGTCTGCAGCCCGGAATATAATCGACCTCCTTCCTCAAGACATCCAACCAGCCAAACTGTACCTCGCCACTCCGTGGTGGTGTGTACTGCATTACATAGTTCAAGCTGGTACGGTTCTGGTAATGGAATTGTCAATGGATGTGTCCCATTTGCCCAACGAAACCGAAAATTTGATCAAAGAGTCGACATGTGTCCTCAGGTGGTTACAAGCGTTGTCAGTGACAAACGAACCCGCCCATCGAGCCCACGTTAGCCTGAGCCGCCTGATGTTTCTTGCCCTTGCCAAACTTGGTAAGGACAATCACAATCCCGCAAGACAGTTTATGGCCAAAGACACGTCAGTCTCTCCGTCCAGCCCCACAAGTGCAATCTCTGTCAGCCCTCAGCCCTTCATGCCCAATCCAGTATCTGCCGGGTGGCAAGATTAAGGCCCTAGTCCTGTTGAGGTCAAAGCGAGGCGAAGTGGCTTGACGGTTGTGCTGGCAGGCAAGATATGGCCGCGAAAGTCCCTGTCTTAACGGACGACTCAGAGGGCCAAACCAAACCTGCGCTGGATGGACCGAAACATGCCCATGTCCTTGCGCATTTAGCTAAAGAAGCTAGGTAGTCCATAGCCCAAAGGACGTTCAAATTGGGAAAGGATCTGACCACCATTTTCTCCTCGAATCACTGCTTTTCCTTCATCAGCCCGGTCCTTGGAATTGTTAGCAAACATCTTAACCCCTAATACCACCTGTTCACTGCCCCCATGTCGCTCTCCCTCTCTCTCCCGCTCTCTATCTATACATATATATTGACCGTTTTAATAACTCCTTTACCTCTTAATTAGTAATATTAACTGCCCTCTTCATTGACGGAGCTTTTTTCCTCCTTATTGGGAAGTCCCTACACTTAGAAATACAGTACATACATATTCGCATGTCGAAATTAACTTACAAAATCCCAGAAGCTGAAGAAAATGGAGATAAGGGAGATAAGGAATAGGATAGAAGTTCATGACAAGTATAGGTCAGCTACTCTGTTCGTTTCTCACATCTTGTTTTGATACTCTCTGTGCATCCTTTCTAGAACAAGTTAGATAGTCGCATCCGCCACTAGCCGTAATCAAAATACATGTTTCCCAAGCACCTACTTGCCTTCCTTTTTGGTTTCTGCGTCCATGATTTCTTGTGCTTCTAATGCAGTTCTTCTCCATCTCAGTCCCCTTTGGACGATTTCCGCTATCCCAAGTTTGAAATAGAGAAATGTGATGTGTTACTAGACATAATGTGACATGCACGAGATTGTGCTAAATTTCTCAGACCCCTGCACGCACCCTCAATGCCATGCTTCTCTTCCTTGAATACGAGATACAGCTGGTCCCCGCCTCTCACCTCATAGCTAGATAATCAATAGAAGTCTTCATATGTGAATGGGAACATGTTTGCCACTTTAGTCCACATATCACTGGTTGCAAGGAACTATCCTAGAAACGGGAACGTGTTTCCCACGCTACGAGGGCGTTTGCCACATAAATGTGCATACATGTAATTAGCCGGCAATATTTAGTTTACCTGGTGGATAGTTAGGTCGAGCAAGTTGTCCATACATCTGTACGATGTAGGCGGTTAACCATTCAGGGCTCACGCAGATCTTACAGACGCAGGGAGGTAGGTGGGTATGAATAGGTGTGCCATCTGGGGATGTTCGGTGATAGTGACGATCAGGAAGATAGTGTTAGAAAAATATGGCGGCTGGCATCGGGACGACGCATTAAACGAACGCCTAAACAACCTTTGAAGTTTTGAAGCCTTTTCTTTTCATTCATTGCTGGCAAACTTTATAGCCACAGGAGAGATATATCGGGGCCCAGCCGTTTAGCTTGGGCTGCGCGATGCAAAACGTGTGCTTCAGAAGATAAAATTCGAGGGAATCTCATGTGGTTATGGAGTAGTTAACACGTAACATATCATATGGTGCTGTTACCGTAACAAAGCTCAATCGCAATCCAGGCAAGAGCTCGCAGTTGGGTATCACGTTGAGTTGCTCAGTTAAATTAGCGCCAATGCTTGGCCCACCCCCTGTTTATCCACTTCTGTATGGCAAGTGAACGGGAAAAACAACATGCGCATCTCAAGTTGAAATAAAGAAAGCCGAGAGACGAAGAATAAAGTGAAGAGTGAAAATAGAAGAAAATATAAAAAACTCTAGGATAGCAAGTATGCTTGACTTCGATTTTGACAATGATAATGGTGAATAAATAGTAAAAAGTAGGACGAAAAAAGGTAAAATCCACACAGTTTGAATTAAAAATCCTTTTATTCCCCGTCCGTGTCTGTTTCCGTATCTGTTTCGCTCGTATCATCAGCATCGCCGTCAGTGTTGCTTTCATCATCTTCACTCGAGTCGCCCGCTTGCTTCTTGGCTATCTTCCTCTTCGGAGGGGCAGTGCCCGTCTTCAGAGCTTGCATTTGGCCGGCAATGGAGTCTAAGTGGGTGAGACGCAGAGTTAGCTCAATAATCATACATATATATTACATTTTGGAGAAAAGGGGGACATGAACATGAGACATACCTTCGTCAGGCTCAGAAATATCGTCTTCCTCCTCTAGGGCGGCAGCCTTGGCAAGATCCTCAACCTCAAGGGTGATTTCACTAACAGTGTCGAAGCCGATATAGCTGTCACAGACAACGTAGAGAGAAAAGAGGAATTTGCCAACTTGGGGGGGAGCTTGGAATTGCATTTTCAAGGTCTGTACATTGAAGGTGGGCTTTCCATCCTTGTCGAAAATGGGTTTGTCAAATGTGGTAAATGTGAACGGAGGGACAGCCATTCTGCCTTGCATAGAATCCGCGAGGAAAATGTACCATCTTGGAGAGTGATCGCGAGCAAAGTACGGAGCATGGGCAAGCGGCGGTTGGATGTGGTTTTCTGAGTCTTCTTTCCCATTTTCATTTATCGCCGAGGACTTGTTGGCGCCTACGTCATCCTCGTCCGGGTCAATGTCCTCAAGGTCACGCTCGTTGACCTCTGGGATATTCGTGGAGCCTGGTGGAATAAACCGTGCCTTAACGATGAGCTGAACAAGACTGCTAGGGGTCACCACTCTTTCGCCGACAACTTTGAAAAATGATTTCGCAACGTCCAGGACGGGTATTTGCTGAGCAACAGACACGGCGCTTGCGTATTGTTGCTCTGATAGCAAGCCTTTACCAACTGACAGCTTTCGTCGGCGCTGCTCAGAAAGTGCCATGTATTGCGAAATAGACATGCGGCTCCTCGAATGCTCGCCTTCGATTGACCGAACGATCTGGGGGGTAAAATAAGGCAATTGCAGAAGAGGTGATCCACCGGGCCGAATGGCTTGGATGAGATGTTGTGCCATGTGAAATGATCCAAGGATTGGTTGCAGGCTACCGAACGCAAGGGCAATAGATGAAAATGAGTCGTTGAGGGTAAAAGCAGTAGGGGCGACGCCGAATTTCTCTACAACAAAACAGATTAAAATCGTTCCATATTAAAAAGAACTATCACAAGAGGCAAAACCTACCTTCATTCAGAACGGGATCATCAAGCTCAACTCTACCCAAGTATGCCCAAAGCAATGCCAGGGCTTTCCTTCTGCTGGCACTTTCCAGATCGGCTAACACCTTTCGATCTTTGGCCGATAGAGTTGTCCCAGGCGCCGCTGAATCTTCATCAGAAAGAATTTTCTTTTCAACTTTAGCAAGTCCAGATTCCGCCTTTTCGTCCCTTAGCATCTGCTTATACTCTTCGCCGGAACTAAGAGCGTTGATTATTCCTCCGCCAACTAGGTCATCCTTGTATTCTCGGAAAATATTGCCAGCGCTTGCAACCAGGACTTTTTCTTTCGTATATCGCTGCGTGCCATACCACCATTTACCAACAATGTAGGGCAGGAGCACGCCGAGTAACAGGCCATATACCAAAAGGACGTATTTACCATTTCCTTCCGTAACGATAAATTTAGGCAGGGCGATACCAATGCTAAAGCTTTGCTTGCCATCTGGGTGTCCGTATTGGATATAATTGTTGCGGATTTCCTCGTCAGTCAGGGCCTTGTAGGCCTTAGTCAACTCAACGAAATGATTGTTCAAGCTTTCGATAGTTTGGTTTTTGGCAGGATCCGGTCTAATTTTGTCTGGATGAAACTGGCGGGAAAGTCGTTTAAAGTGCCTGGAAATAGCTTTTTCGCTAGCGCTCTACAAGGAAAAGAAGAAAATAAAAGCGGTTAGATTTGAAGGTCGACCAAAAAAAAAAAAAAAAAAGAAAAAAAAAGAAAAAGAAAAACCGTAGAAAATTTCCCAAGCTGGTATTTTTGTTGGTCAAACTTACTCTCGAAATGCCCAGAATTTCATAAGGGTCCCATATCTTTGGGGTACTCCTGGCAGTGACGATAATCAAATAGACCATCCACGCCATTACAGCATATCCCCCTATCACGGTAAATATGCGCTTCAGCCGGCGCTCCTTCCGCAAAAGCTTCTGCTTTTGCTTCTGAATAATGTCGCCATGCTGAGGACGGAAGTCGGACTTTATCCGAGGAGCAGTATTTTCCAGGTCTATATATAAATTGCATGACTGCAGGTCAGCTATCCCTTCCAGTACCAGATACGACGGTTTTCAGCACCGGAAGCGGAACATATTGTTCGAAACTCACCATTGCTGGGCTTGAGGAGAGTGTATGTGAGCGGAAGGGTGACGAGTGAAGCCAAGGTGAGGATGAAGAAGGGGAAGAATTGGCCCTGGGCGTGAATAAGTTAGCATATCCGCAGCTGCCACCCATGAGACCCGGGACATATCTAGCCGTGTTCAAGCTCCCCCGGTGTCGCGGGAAATGGTAACTCACCTGCTCATCGTAGTTATATTCCGTCGAAGACATTTTCGCGACTCAGTAGTAAAGTGAAACTAAGGCGAATGGGGTCCCGCAGTTCTTCAACCGGGGTTAAGGGTAGTGAAGGGGGACCAGCTCGGTGCTGCAGAGGGGAAAAAAAATCAAAAATCAAAATGTATCTCCAACAGCCAAAGACTCAGAGGACAAACGAGATGAGAAGTATGCGCATGGTGTATCCGGGCGGGGTGAAGGGAAATGTATTAAGGACAGAAACTATAAAGAGAGGTGTCAGAAAGGAAAAAAAAAAAAAACAAGCCCGTTGTCGGGGATGAGGTGCTTGCGATGTGTCCACTGCAGACTTTCGATCGATCCCGAAGACCTGTCCTTTCCAACCTCACGGCAGACGGCCGAACTAGGCTTAGTCGGGCAGGCGATTAGTCTACTTTGGGACTAGTACCATGCTTCCAGATTTCCTTCACAACTTTATCGTTGTCAACCCGTTGAGCTTTTTTTCGACTACATAATAGGGGTGCTAGTTTGGTAAAAGCTCTACATTGGTTCGAGGAACGGAAGCGCAGTGGATGCAAGTCACATTTCATTCAGATCAGATAACATATGAGGCACAATTACAAGCACGGGACAACCCCGAAACTCCTTCGCCAAAATGTGTGCTATACATAAAATATAAAAATCCTATTAAAAAGGCACGCCATCATCAAATGCCAAATCGTCGAGTGCCACAAGCAAGCACCCCAAAACAGGGAATAAAAGCAATATTCATCGATCGGAAGCTCTCACGAAGAACAGCCATTTCCCTATCCACCCCTCCGTTTCAATTTTCGCATCCACTCCCCACTTCCACAGAAATCCCGATGACGCACATCCGCTGCTCTCCCCTTGCTTTCTGTGTCGGTTTTTTTAAATCCAGAATCAACTAAGCAGAGAGCTCAACCATGTCAACTATCCATACCATAGAGATTAGCGACGGTCTAGATGCGAGCACCACCTGCCTTTACGGCTAAGCAGCGGGAAAGGTCGTCGAGTGTCGTTTGGAACTAGCCCTTGAAGCTTTGTTTCCGTAGGATTCGTACATGCGAAAATCCACCAAGAGATCAATGGTCGAGCCGCTGTTGACCAATCGGGTACCACCTAGTAACGTGAATCCACACTCGGTCCTCGAAGGCTACTGCCAAAATCGGTGGACAAGGGGAGGTTACTGCGGGAGGTGAATACCGTCATTGCTACGAGTCTTGGCTTCGAATATGCCACGCTCTGGTGTTGATTAGGATGGACATCAGGAATGGTGTCCGGGTTGTGGGGCAGGGTTGGCGATTGCGAGCCAAACGCTCTCCGTGTGGATTTCTCGGCTAGAATATCCAGGTTGGCAAGTGATAACATGTCTGTTTAATATTCACCGGCCTTGGGCGGGTTTGTAGCCATCATAGAGTACTATAAGACTCTCCTCCACGCAAAAAGATAAGAAAGTGCCTCCGGTTGTTCACAATTTATCGTTCGTTGCCGGAGGGAACGGAGTGGAACGGGTGCAGATAGGAAGAGAGGTGAGCATTAAAGCTCACGAATCAATATAATCGAGGCCACCAAAGTATTCTAGCATGCGATAACACAAGGCTACATCATCTCCTGGTTCGCCTCCAAACAAACGGAATTGATCAGCCTCCATCCTTGCGGCCTCCTGCATCTGTCGATAGTCGCGGTTCTGCCATGCAGCGTACTGATTCTGCCATTGTTGGGCTAGCAGTGGTTGCTGAGAAGACAGTACTGGATATGGGGATGGGCTAAATATAGGGGTATGTGAACGTCTAGGATCGCAAGGTAACTGATGGGCAAGGGCCACGATGGGTGGAGGATTTTGGTTCAGAGGAGCATTTGAACGATTGCGGGAGCGGGGTCTTGTACGTCGTCTATTATGTTTCTGGCCCATTATAGGAGTGAGGCAAAGTGTATCCAATGGATTCAGGTTGAGAGAGAAGATTATATCAGTCGTTAAAGAGTAGAGGTAACACACATTCAAACGCCAGAGACGCCTGAACTGGCGAAAGGAACAATCATGGCAGGTAGGCGTATGTAGAACAAGACTTCTCCAGGCTTAAATAGAAGAGGGAGAGGAAGCTCCAGGGATCTTATCTCGACTCATCCAACCTATCAAGTGAGTCACTCGCCAGAGCACGGGTGCCTAAAGAAGTTAGGGCAAGGGAATGTCCAAAGAAAAAAATATTTAGCTCCACGAATCAGGAACAGGGGCAGAGAAAAAAATAGAAAATAAATTTTTTCGGACGAATTAGAAACTGGGAAACGTCAAAATTATGGGGGCTTGGGCAAACAAGCATGTCAAGATGCCCAGCTGTCGAAGCATGAGTCACAAATCGTTGAATCACCCCATGGTACGTTACAAATCGCGTGATGCCAACAAAACTACCTAGGTAGAGCGGCTTTTTATCCGTGGACCTATTCTCCAAGATGCCAAATAGTCTTCATTGTCAGAGTCCGCCGTCGGAATTTGAAGAAGAACCATGGCCTGATAGCGGAATTTGCTTTAAACTATCAGTTAGAATATCCACTTTGGGCAGAAAATGAAACCTGGAAGCTCACAATTTTGCCTACAGGATAAATTGATGATGTCATTGGTCAGCGTGGCGCGTGTTCATGTGACTGTATCTTGGCATTCTGTAGCTTGGCATTTTTAGGAGTTTGAGCTCTGGAGTCTGAAGCGGCAACCCGGCTCCCGGAAGGCGTCATACTCGAAAAAAAAGAGGGGAAATTGGGGGGGGAGGACTGCATAAGGGGTAATCCAGGGGTAGCGTCGCTACCTCTGCGTCTCATGGTCAAGTCAAAATCGTGTGTTATACCAGTTTGATTTGTAGCAAAGCTATGGAAAACAATTGGTTCCTCCAAACTAAATACCGAAGCACATTTGAAGGAACATATCATGTCGGTCAGGCTATATGTTGCATGAGCCATCTCCCTGTCGAATAATCTCTAACATGCCATCTCCTTTTGGAGCCGTCGTCAAATTTTCATAACCTGTCTTTGTCACCAAAATGTCGTCTTCAATCCGCACACCTCCGACCGGCATATAAGTTTTGACGAGCTCCAAATCGACATACTTGACTTGTTCCGGTTTCGCGTTGTCCAGAGCGATCTGAGAAAAGTAGATCCCCGGCTCGATTGTAACTACCATTCCGGATTTTAAAGTCGGCGATGATGTGGTGCACGGCGATAGGTTGTTAGGTGAAATCAACACATTGTCGGAATAATCACCGTTATCTTGTGCCATTATGGATTCCGGCGAAACATCGTGCACTTCAAGACCAATATGATGTCCAAGACCATGGGGGAAAAAGAGGTTGGATGCACCAGAATTCTGGATCTCTTCAAGCGTGCCGCCCTTAAATATACCAAGGGTAAGGAATCCTCGAATAAGACTGCGGTGCGCTAGGATGTGAAGGTCTAGATATCTGACCCCCTCTTTGACGCGTACCATGCAGCTTTCTTGCATATGCTCAACCAATTTGTATATATGTTTGGCTTCAGCGCTTGGCCATTGACTAGTCATTGGGAAGGTACGCGTCACATCGCTTGCGTAACAGTTCCACTCAGCGCCAGCATCGAGACAGACAAACTGGCGGCCCTTGAGGGGTTCGTTATTCTTCGAGTAATGAAGCGTAGCCGCATTCGAGCCAGACGCGGCAATTATGTGGTACGCCTGCTTATGCGCTCCTAGCGAAACGCTCGTATTCAAAAAACTAGCCTCTATATCACGCTCATTGCTCATTTTCCTTATTCCGCGGAGAACATCTATATGAGCAGCCGCAGATACTTCATTAGCACGCCGGATGAGCCCTATCTCATGCTCATCTTTTATAGCTCGAGATGTGTCCATAGCCTGTTTGAGCGTTTTGCTATCGATGAAGACATTGGGAACCTTCTCTGCAGGCTTTTGTGATTCGTGAAGAAGGTACAGTGTGGAGCCACGGCCCTGGTTCTGAGCCCATTGCTTAACATCTTCATCCAGAGAGGATTGGTATTTAACCTCGTCGATATCAAATCTATAATACGGAGAGTAAGTCCATTTCTGTTTACATAAACACGATGATACTGGTCCATGTTCGAAATGAAAATTACTCTCCCGCTCACCTTTGTAACGCTTCTTCTCGCCCAAGGGTCGGTCCCATCCAGATGGTCCGTTTCAAATCAAAGTCGGGGACATATAAAGTCAATTTATCGGCGTTTATATCATAAGTGAGATCGCAATCTGGCTCATCTACACCCGACATATAAAAAAAGTAGCGCCGTTGTCGAAACGTCCTTTCCTGGTCGGAGTCTTCGTATAATGTAGATTTCTGGCCCATTAGATAAACAAGCCCCCTGTCCCTGTGGATTTCAGCAGCAACCCTTCGTGCATGTTGTTTTGCTGTAAATTATTTATTAGCAAAATATGCAGCAATATGCTTCACTGTTATGCACCCGCTATGCCACATGCAATTCGACATGCATTAAAGTTACATGACCCCGCGGTTACTTACCAGGATACTTGTCAACGGTTGTGTCTTCAATCCTGAGCTCAATGTTGCATTCGTCATCAGGCTGTAAGGTGCTGGTCGTAACAACGGGCTGGCTATGGGGCCGGAGTAAATTTTTGGGTTCTATGGCGGAGATCATCTTTTCTCCCTAGGATTTAATAATATGACGTTGCGGTGGTTATAGGGGGTGTGGTTTGGAAGAGACGGAGCAGAAGTCAAAATAAGCTCAGAAGATAGCAGGAGCCCTAGGCTTCCTAGTACGGACTAGCGCCCCGCACTACATATAGCCCCTACTACGGAGAACCAATACAGCGATTCCCAGGCATGTCAAGAAAGAAGACTTTGCACGTCTAAACAACATGAATTGCTCTATCAATACTCATTCTAAAAAGGTTTTCCATAATAATCAACAGTAAGGTATATATTGTGCAAGCAAAACTGCAGCTTTGCTAGGGCTTTATCGTATCTCCACAGATCTTAAGACATCTTAGAGCAAATGAAGCGGTCACTAATATATGTCTCAGAAGAGCTATACAGTGACATATGTTTTTTTTTTTGAGGACGCTTTACTTCCAACAATATCCCGCCTTCCGCTGTATGTGTTGAAATTATAGAACCTCTCACAACAATGAATCGCCTCGCAAAGTAAGTGGTTGATCTGAGGCGCCAGTTGTTCACCAGGCGGTAAGAATCTTGTAGCAAGGACAGGCTAATGAATATCTTAACAGTCTTTAAAATCGGAATTTCGAGAGATAAACGCATGCCAGATTTCATAAATGATTCGTGGGGAATTTTCTTGAGCCAGCGGCAACTGAAACAAGGACAGACATCTAAACTAACCTACATTCCAAAAAAAGAATATAGCCCTATTCCTTCACAATAATGAAGTAAGAAAATAATTAGATGAACACAGCAGATTTTTGCACATGGTCTCCAGATCTTAAGAGGAGTAATCTGTAAACTATATGTAATAGTTAAACAAAAAGAGGCGCACAGTCTATTTGTGTTACGAATCTGGGGGTTTGTTTGAGCAATGCGCCTGAAACACGTTCAAGGGCAGACTCTCCAAGTAGAGAATGCAAGCTCAAACACTTTACACGTAGGAGTTTTCGCCAATTCCTTTATTTGACGCCGTAGGACCCAAGCTCCCCGAATACAGAGGCGATCAAGTTGGGCAAACTAACGCCAAAGTAGAATTTGGATACAGTGCTCCTCTGTACAGGGCATGGCTGTTAACATAACAATTAACTAATAAATTAGTAAATTAGTTAGTTGCTTCAGGACAATTGCATCTAGAACCCACTCGACAATGAAAAGAAACATCTAGCACCCAGACAAGTAGTAACTTTGGAGCTCAACCCACTCCAGGCCTGGAATCAAGGGATTGTTATTTTAAGCAGCGCCTATATAGGAAATGATGTCAGCGCCACTTAGTCAGCGCCTACTCCGTCCCCGCCACCGAGCAATCGCCGGCCCAAGAATTGCCAGAATTGCCCCAGCACGCCGCAGCAGAGAGAAATGCACGTCGCTTGCCATGTCTCAAGTCAAGCATCCAGGGCATCTTCAACCCCAATCTTGCAACTCAGCATCACCTTTCTCCAGCTTTCACCTACCTTCCTCATCGTGATTTTGCTGCTGTCTAGCCAGTTGATTCGTGGCCTCTCTATAGATTTCGAGGCTGTTGTGCTTGTTTTCTTCTCTATATCCTATCAACCAGACCGCCCCCTCAGTGCTCCTCAATGAATGATGCCAAGTCGTGAGAGCGTTACCTTGTCGCTGTCAACGCTCACTACGTCCGTCCTCCCCACCAACACCCCGTCTCCGCTACCTGTCCACAAACCGTCTGCTGAGCCGTCTCTAAATATACGGCAGCCTGCCACGACGCTAGCTCAGTCTCTTGTAAACCGCCGTATCGCTCTGCTCCCGCAGCAGAACGGAGATGTCATGGATGGGTTCGGCGGGAATATCGGTTCTACCGGCAAGGGCATCCTGATCGGGATTCTCTCTGCCTTTGGTTCCGCGGGTGTTGCAATCATTGTGCTTGCTATCTTCTTCTTTTTCAGATATACCCAACGGGGTCGCATTATACTCGACCGGATCGGGAGACCCGGTGAATATGACGACGAGCAGGCGTTTGCAAGGGAGGAGGCGGAGGCACTGGAGACGATGGATGAGCTTCAGCAGGCAGAATACCTAAGGGCTAAAGGTATGGCTCTACTTCTTTGAGGAGATGTCACTTCATCCTTTCATCACATGGTCTTCTCATTGGCTAATATGTGCTTGAAAACAATAAACAGCCTTCATTCACGCAAACCCACCGGAGACGATGCAAACCGATATCTCCCTTTCACAGTTCTTAGCTATTCAAGAAAAAGGCGTTTCTGCGTGGGAATTTGAGCCGGAGCTAGAGATCGCTAATTGCTTTGTGGAAGCTCGGACTGAAATTGAATTTTTCGATTCAGAATGCAGCGTCCAGAGCAACTTACCAGTCCCCAAGCAAAACGAAGTTTATTATTGGGAAGCTAAGATCTATGATAAACCCGAAACCAGCCTTATAAGCATTGGCATGACAACAAAACCATACCCATTATTCCGATTGCCAGGTATGGAACTTGTTTATATTTTCGTCTGTTGTGACGCCAATTATTCGGACTAACATATCTCGTCTGCTAGGCTTCCACAAAACATCCGTAGCCTACTTATCCACCGGACACCGTCGCTATAACCAACCCTTCAATCCTGCTCCTTACGGCCCCGAATATGTCCAAGGTGATGTAATTGGTGTGGGTTATCGGCCCCGCACGGGAACGATATTCTTCACTCGCAACGGGAAGAAGCTTGACGACGCCGCCCAAGGACTAAAATCTCAGAACTTCTTCCCTACTGTTGGAGCAAATGGACCCTGCACCGTCCATGTCAACTTTGGACAGATGGGATTTGTTTTTATTGAGGCCAACGTCAAAAAATGGGGGCTCGCACCAATGACAGGTAGTCTAGCACCCCCACCTCCCTATGGGAGTGAACAAGGTAGTATTCTGCTGGAAACGGGCCGCGAGGGCCACCAGTCCACACAATGGCGGCAGCATGAGTCGGGCCATTCACGGACACGCAGCGGCACGATCAGGATGCCATACCCCACCAGTCCCGGTCCCGTTCGATCTCCGACGGACATTTCTCTTGCCCAACTTCCCCATGTATCGGCCGCAGCAGACGTTGGCGAAGGGTCCAGTGGAGCGCCAAACGTAACAGATGATCAGGACGATGGAACAACGATGCAACCCACCGATAGGGCATCGGCTATTCCACCTCCAGAATACTCCAGCCCGCGACAGAGTCCGCCCCACAGTGAGTACGGCGAGCAACATCCACCTCCTCCACGCGGCTCAAGAAGCCCTCCGATCCCTAGCTACGATGCAGCTGTAGGAAATGACGGCGGCCGCCGCTAGCACGAGAGTCATTAATTACATACGACTCGTCCAGCTTTAGTCGCGCTAACCTTCTCCCCCCAATTGTTTTTGTTTCTCCCTCCTCGTTCAATCTCCCTCCTCATAAGGACACCGTCCTTTTATCGGACAGGCTCTTTTTTTTTCTTCTTGTTTCCCTTTTCATATACTTTTTCCCTTACTATAATTCCTCAATTGTCGATTTAGCGAACATGGTTTGGGAAGGCGTTCTCGGGTTTATTTACCTTTGATTTTTATGTTTATGCTTTGACCGGGTGGTACCGTTAACAACAAACTCCTCGTATATGTTCATACCTCCGACGTCCGCCTTACGACACCACTTTACACATGTTTGTTTTGTTTTTTGCTGTGGTTTGAGTTGAACAGCGTGAGGGATGGTGAGCTTTGATTACGGGGCAATGGACAGCTTGCTAGGTAAAGAGGAGGGAAAGCGGCCATGTTAAGGCGGGATGAATGTGTTTAAACTTCCTTGCTTTGTTCCTTTTTTTTTTTTTTTTTTTTTTTTTTTTTTTTTTTTTTGATCTTACGAGCTTAGGATTGGAGCGTTTGGATGGAGTTGGAAGCCGTGGGAAATGGTGGAATTTGCCAGGCGCAGACCAATCATTTCTGTACAAACGCCATGTGCGCGGTTTTTCTCATTTGTATCTGCCTCCTGTTATACATATACCACACGCTTTATTTTATTTGTTATCTCTTCATTAATTTTTCTTTTTTTCTTTTTTCTTTTTTTCTTTTTTCTTTTTTTCTTTTTTCATTTTTTCATTTTTCATTTTTTCATTTTTCATTTTTTCATTTTTTCATTTTTTCATTTTTCATTTTTCATTTTTCATTTTGTTTTAATTCCTGTGTTTTCCTGAGTAGGTCCATGTGGGAAGTTGAGGTCCAGAGTGTGAGTGGGGGGAGAGGAGAAGAGAAGAAGAGTTTTGCTTCCGACATCTCATATTTATTTACTATAACTCTCGAGCTTATTGATTCTGTCATTGTTCACTTTTCCACGAATTGTAATTAACTTGGCGCATCAATGAATCAAAGAGCAACGGAATGAATGTAATGTGGCACATGGAATATTTTTCGACTACATTTATCTAGAACAAAATAAAGAAAGATGGAACCAACCAGAATGTACTACGTAGGCAGAACAAATTCCATCCTTCGAGAATACCGCCTAGCCAACAACCAGAAGCCCGCTAGAAGCTGAAAACTCGCAGAACAGAAGAGAAGATCCAACCAACCAACCTCATCACTCGCAGCAGGGTGCTGTACTCCGTATATAATGCGCTGTTCATGGCCTCCTCCCCCCCAACAATCGCCACCTTGGGAAGTTGCCACAGTGATCGTCCCGGCTCTGGCCTTTGGGATCGCCCACTTCCTCGCCTAGAATACCATGGCAATGGTCAAAGGAGTGCTAGAACCGACTTTTTACTGGCAAAGAAGGAGTTTAGCTCTTTGTAGTTGAGGTGTGTACGGAGTAGAGGGATATTCATGCGTCTTTTTGCCGACCGATTTATTTATTGGTCTTGGGCAAGAAGATCCGAGGATTGCGATTGGATTTCCCCCTGTCCGCCCCCCCCCGGTCGCGAATTCTTGCTGATTCTGCTAGTAGTAAGTATGGGAGGTTTGGGAGTTTAAAGTGTTTCGATTTCTGTGTGGCGGCCCGCGGATTCCGATCGATTGTAGGTCCCAAGAGGAAGTAATCTGTATTTGATTGATTAATGGTGTATTATTATAGGGTATTTAAATAGATCTTGGTATAAATACCCCCATCTGTGTCAGTGTCAGTGTCGAGGAACAGGACTGTCTATACGGAGTACTATATATTGGTAGTTAGATATTTAGTTTAAATATCCTAGACTCGCCGCTATGGATATTTTAGTTGCTAAAGACAACAGTTATTCATTTCGGCTGAAGTTGACTTGACGACCGCGACAACAACGGAACCTCCTGTAGACACATTAATAATTGCCGCTCCAATTCCTCCCTCTCCATGACAATTCTATTCTAAACAACCGCCTCTTCCAGCGAGCTGACCCCGACCCTCTCATCATATCATCTAGGGAAGAAGAATAACTACAGAACAAAATCCACTTCGCCTCCCCCCTCAAACGCTAAATCCCCAGACTAGACTCCTACGTACGTCACGCTGAGCCCAACCGAACCTCCCGTCGTCCTCACCTCTTCTACTTCGCAATCAGCCAAAAAAGAGTCACCGTCTTATCCTCGTTCCCCATGTTATCTAGCCCCTGAGCTCCTGTTGCGGACAACGGAAGGAAAGGGAAAAAATACTATCACCCGCTTACATACCACTATATATCCTCTCTCCTCCGCGCCCCGGAACAGACCCCCCTGCTCCGCTCAATCACACCCCCCTCGAGGAGCAACCAACTGCTGCAACTGTCTTTAAGAAACCTTAAAATAAATCCCGCATGCGGGGAAAATACTGCAACCGGAAAACGCGCGACAAAGCCAAGACGAGACGAGACGAGTTACCGGCTAACTTTCGATCTCGTTCTGTTTTACTCTCCGGAGTTCCAATATAAACAAACTAACCATTGTTGATAACTAAAATAAAGAATCTCTCCAGAAGGGAGAACAACAGCGCAGGAAAGAGCCCCCTAGCGCGTGACCCGCATGCCTCGCAAGGCGGGTTGAGGACAGGAACAGGAAGGATATCGTGATATACAAACAATAAACACCCAAGGGGGGGGGTTGCGAGTGAGGGATAGAAACGTCCTTGTAAGATTCCTCCTGCGCTGACAGGTGGGATATGATATTGGGCAAAACAGAGGAGGGTGGATTCGTGTTCTCGCCTCCAGGAGTTACTCATTGGGATATCAGGAGAGAGCCAAAAACGCTGGAACGGGCTTCCATTGCCCATTCGATTCCTTTTTTCTTTTTTAAAATCCCGCACTATGCGCAGTGGACGGTGACTGAATCGTCAGAAAGGAAAAGAGAAAGACGAGAAAAGGAAACCACGAGAAACAGAGGCTTGATGCTTATGTGATCTGTCCGAGTTGGTCGAGCTCACGGCAAACACTCCCCAACCCGCACCCCGCCGCGCGCAATGCATCGTAATGGCGGTCAGGGGCGGAGAGCGAGACGGGATCAGAGTTCGGAGGCACAGCGGAAGAGTTCGTTTCATGTTATTGTGCTGGTGAGTTAGCCTGGTTTTTTTTATTTATTTTGTTCTATTCTATTTACTTACTTTATTTTACTTTACTTTATTTTATTTTGTCTTTTGTCTTTTGTCTGGTCTGCGCGGAGACAATAATGCACTCTGGTGAATTTGTTTTGATATTTCTTCGTAAGGAAAACCACCCTTTATCAATTCCAGTTTCAACTGTTGAACTTACTGCTGTTCGTTCACCCTCTCACACCTCCTATTCTGTTTTTCTCTTACCTGGCTGAGTATGTGGTTTATCTTCATTCCCCTTCAATTAGTTTTCTTTGGCCGATACATATTACATAGAACGACACTGATTGTATCCCGGCATGTAGGGTTCCTCAGGCGGGCCACGAGAAGACATTGTTTCAGCACTACTAGTTCGTTCGACAGCTACAAACTGGTCGGCAGGCTCTGTTATAGCCATAGATGCAGGAACGCTTTTAGGAGGAATCATTCGAGCTCTAGAGAATTCCAGCTCCGCCAAAGATGAGAAATCGACAGATGTTAAATTACGCATGACTGAGGGACCTTTTGCAGGGCTTGAACTTCCAAATACTACCACCGGAGCCAATGCAGCCTATATCTTCCGCGAAATCATTTCATCCGTATTTATCACGCATCCTCATCTGGACCATCTCGCCGGTCTAGCCATGAATACCCCATTGGTGGAAGCCCAGTCAAATCCCAAAATTGTCGCTGCCCTCCCGCCAACTATTGCTGCGATCAAGAATCACATTTTTAATGACATTACGTGGCCGAACCTGTCTGATGAAGATGGTGGGGCCGGTCTGATCACTTACCATCGGCTAGTTGATGGAGGGAATCCCAGACTGGGTCGTGCGGAGGGTCGTGGCTATATTAGGGCATGCGAGGGGATACTTGCTAAGTGTTTAAGTGTTAGCCATGGACGTTGTGCGCAGCGGTATCATCCAGAAACAAGCCAATATCATCGAGCTGAAAGTACAGTATTCACTACGGAGTCTGGATGCCTTCCTTCAAGGAGAGTCTCGATAGACACGCAGGATCTGGCGTAAGTTTTCCAGTCTCATTCGGGCCGGAGTAAAAGGACATGACAACATGCTAAAATAAAATCATCTCTTTCTAGTCGATCATACACTCCCAATCATCAAGCGCCGTGTGCGGTTAGCTCTAGCGGTAAAGCCAGCTCTCTGGCAAGCGTAGAAAGCTCAGCCTTCTTCCTCCGCGACGACTATTCGGGAGCAGAAATCATCGTCTTCGGCGACATTGAACCGGACAGCATATCCCTCGATCCCCGAAATGAGAAAGTATGGGAAATCGCCGCCCCCAAGGTCGCCAACGGCTCCCTCCGCGCCATCTTCATCGAATGCTCCTACATGGACTGCGTCGAAGACAGTTCTCTATACGGTCATCTATGCCCACGCCATCTCATCGCTGAACTCCAAGTCCTCGCTGCCAAAGTATCGAGAGCCACAGACCCCGAATTCAGCGACACGGCTTCACGAAAGCGCAAGCACGCTACCGCCTCCGACCCGATATTGAATGAACCTACCAGCCCTAAAAGCACCCCGCCCCGATCACAAAGTCGACGGACAAGCTCCTCATCCCGCTCTAAGTGGCGAACCACTCGCTTTTCCGGCTCCCGTCATCATGCACCCGCTGAAGCAGTGAAACCAGACGATGCACAGCCTACCACACCACCCGGATCCGGCACCCCGATGGGCGACGACGACGACGATGATGACCACGATGACCATGCTTACGACGAGAATGGCTATGATGCTAATGATGAAGTTGGCGTAGAGAAGAGCAGAGATACGCCAGAGATAAGCTCACACCACAAACCTGCGAAGCGCACGAGATCCGCCATGGACAGAGGTCGGAAACCGCTAGCCGGGCTGCGGGTTTATATCATCCATGTTAAGGATTCGCTTACTGATGGTCTATCGCCGCGGGAGGTGATACTGGATGAGCTGCGGGCGCATAATGAGGATGCCGCGTTGGGTTGTGAGTTTTATGCGCCGTTGTCTGGGGAGGAGGTTTTTATTTGATTTTCTTTTGGGGGTCATTTTAGGTTGTTTGAATTTTTTGGTGACTGTTTTGGGGGTTCTTTTCAGGGGTTCGTTTTTTTCCGTCCCTTTTATGTCCTTTGTTTGAAAAAGAGACAAAGACCTGCGCTCGGTTTATAAAATTTGAGGGAGAATTGGATGGACTATTTGGGTTACGTTTTGATTCTACATGCAAACAATCCTTTTGTTGTCAGTTGACTTGGATATATCCCCAGCAGCGCATGGGTCGTTCTTTTTCTTTTTCTTTTTCTTTTTCTTTTTCTTTTTTTTCTTTTTTTTTCCTTATGCCTTTTCTTCCCTCTAGTTTCAGGGGAACAGGAAACTCTCGGATTTTGATGTTCCTTTATGGTGTTGGCTAATGTGTCTCCGATTTTAACGCCCAGGATATGAAATGGATATTTTTCTTGTTTGTTTCTATTTTCTTAGAGAGGGTCAAACTTTGGGTTCCCCTGTGGGCTAACCACCGATATGGACTCTGTGTATTTGATGATCACAGGCTTTCTTGCCCGGGGGCTCCTTTTTATACTTGCTTTCTCCATTATTCTTTTTGATAACGTCGGCCCATTGGTGCGAATCGGGATAGCACTTTTTGGCAGTTAGTTGTTCCCTTTTTGGGACATTTCCCGCCCTATCTGTATTTTTAGAGTGCCTGCATACTCATCCCCCAAATTTCATCTCATGGGAACTAAGCAAAATGGGAAAGGAAAGCAATTGCTATTAACATACTATTTAACTTTGGGTTTATTACTGTACATTTAAAACTGGGCGACGACCATATCTATACAATCCCCCTTGAATAACATACACACACACACACACACACACACACACCCCGTCAGCCAAACTCCACGTAGCAACACGAAGGATAGCTAAGACCATAGCGAATTAAGAGCAGGCGAAGCGGCCTCCTGTCCCCCAGAGCCACGAGCGACCTCAATGACATCAACCCACTTCCCACCTTTCTCAACATCCGGAACCTTTACAACACCCTTGCTTCCAGCCGCCGTCTCAGCAGCAGCAGCAGCAGCAGCAGCAGCGTCGCCACCACCCTCAGGACTCAACACAGACATTCCCTCCCCATCCCTCGCCCACTCAATCAGCATCTCCTCACTCCCCCACTCGCCCATCCCCATAAGACCCACAGGAACACCGGGTCCCTCAACCAGGCCCATGGGCCTCGAAAGAGCCGGACAGCCCGTAAAGTTCGCGAGGAACACATACTCCATCGCGCGCAGGCTGGAGTTCTCATCGCTAACGCCCGACACGAGGTCCGCGTCGCCCTTGGATATTTTCCAGCCGGGCATCGGGGTCGTGGGCGTCGCGATGATCAGGCCCGGGTGTTTCTGGTACAGATGCGCGAGGTGGGACATGAGGAGGTTGCGCATGCGTTGGGCGGCGAGGAAGTCGCGGGCGGCCGCCTGGTTGCTGCCGATGGAGACGAGGACTTTGTTCTGGGGGGTTAGTTGGCGGATTTGCTCGGGGGTGATTGTTGAGGAGATCTCGGCGAGGATGGTGAGGGCGTGGGCTTTTTGGCCTTCGGGGAGGAAGGGGATGGAGATGTCGAGGACAGTGTAGTTTTGGTGGTCGCGGTAGTAGTCGATGGCGTTGTTGAAGAGGCTGAGGACGGCTGGGTCGGCGCGGTTGACCCAGTCGCGGAAAATGCCGATTACCTTGGGCCGGGAGGCTAGGGTGTCGCTGGATGGGATGGTGGAGAGGGGATCTGGGAAGGAGGAAGATGGCATTGATTCCGGATCGGGGCTAGCCATGATTCGGTACGATAATGCTAAGTCGTCGAGGCTGGAGGTCATCGTTCCGAAAACGCCGGTGGTCGTGGCTATTCCACAGGTCGGGTGTCCAGAGACTCGGCCATGGGAGGTTTTAATGCCATAGATGCCGCAGAAGCCAGCCGGGACACGGACTGAGCCACCACCGTCGGCTCCCAGGGCAATGGGTACCAGGCCAGCGCCAACAACATATCCAGAGCCTCCTGAAGAGCCGCCGGTATAGTAGTCTTTGTTGTGGGGATTTCTCGGGGTCCCTGTAAAGGGATTGTTGTTCGTGGTGCCTAGAAAAGAATTAATCAGTCAGTTTCGGGATTGGTAGGAAAGCGGTCAAACTGCGATATCACAGATAAATCTAGCAAAATTAAGAATTGGAAATATAAGGGGAAATGTATATCTTACCAAGACCCAATTCATGCATGCTAGTCTTCCCGACAACAATTGCCCCGGCCTCCTCCCACTTCTTAACACACCACGCCGTCCGGTTCGTCTTCCCCGTGAAATCTAACCGACTCCCTAACGTCCGCTTGTAGCCCTCGAGGTCTACTTCATCCTTAACTGCGACAGGCACCCCATCCAAGGGACCTAACGGCTTCCCAGTCTTGTACCTCTCCGTCGAGGCTGCAGCCGCAGCACGGATGATATCAATCTTAGACTCAAGGAAGGCAAGAGAATGCTCGCCGGGCGGGTTCACATCACGGCGAATGAGAGGAAAAAGCGCTTCCACGACCGCCGTGGGTGTCAGGTCGCCGGACAGATACAGCGCATGGTAGTCGGCTGAGGTGTAGTAGCCCTGGCCATCTCGCTTCTGGGTTGGCAGGGGAAGGCTCGATTGATGGGCTGTAGAAGAATCCGCGATAGGGGTGACGGTAGGGTCATATCGGGGTGGATAGTCTTTCAGGGCGGGGAGTTCGCGCACGACGTTGAAACCTGCATTGCGCCAGAGATAAGCTTGGAGGGCATTTGAGGAGCAGACCCTATCCAAGGAAAAATGAACTTTAGAATTAGCTTTATTTTTTTTATTTTTTTTTATTTTTTTTAAGAACACGAGAGGAAAAGGGGAGATAGGCATAATTATTAGAGAGTCGGGAATTACTAACAATGAGGCGCCTAGCTCCAGCAAGCGGCCCCGGAGTATGGGGTTCGACGCCGGGGGATACTTCAAGGGGACGTCGGGCCCTTCGCGGGGAATGGGGTAATCGTGGAATCGATGGGATGTTTCCGATGTTCCAGCCATGTTTGTAGAGCTATTTAGTAACTATGTTTCTCTGCCTAGTGAGTGGGTGAGGAGGGACTAGTAGTACTGTACGGAGTACGGAGTAACTACTGGAAAATGTGTCTCCCGTCGGCCGTTGCTCTTATATACGCAATAATAGATGTTGTTCTGTGGTTGGTTCTGCCGAGGTTCCCCTGAAGCGGGCCAGACCAGGCTAGTTGAAAGACGCTGATTGGTTGATAATAAGCTCAAGGGATGCGCCGCCGCCACCTAGTATGATGGCATAAAATGCGATGAGGCAACTGACGTTCACTACTTTTTGTTTATGGAGTGGGGAAATAAATATAGGGCATTGCTCGTAAATAGTGGTTTGTAGAGTAGACGTTAGAGATAATTGACGGCTTGAACGATAACAAACCAAATAATTATGATAACCTATATCGCGTATTATACAATTGAAATAAACCGACTATCCCAAAATTATTACTCTGCTTCATAATTTCAACTTCAAATTCCATTCGTCCATGGCCAGCGCCGCGCCCGTTAAGACAATAGCATATCCAACCAATACAGCCATTGCAGTACTCTTGTCCGCATCCAAAGTATTCATCCCCATATTAACCGCGCCAGTAAGGAGATTTGCAATCAAGAAAATCGCTAAACCATTGCCGTTGAACGCACGCATGATCCTGCTTGTCGCAAACCGACTTCGCTCCTCCTCGCTCGCCTTGTCAGTCGCCTTGTACACTGACGGGAAGAATAACGTCTCAACAAGGCAGAAAAGGAAGAGCTGCGAGTTGTTGAATGCCGCTACCCAAAAGACATATGGTAAATTTGCCAGCCGACGCGAAACGGGTATGCCTCCGCCATACCCAAACATGTGGAGGGAATTGAAGGAGAATAATGCAGTCCAGATAATGGACCAGATTGCCTGGCGGATAAGTAGGGACTTTCGTGCTTGGTAAGGCGTCTTGGAGGGGGAGGAGGAGGTTTCTCGGGGCATGACTCTTAAACCCGTAGCGCGTCCGGCGAGGAAGATTGCTAGGTAACCCAAAAGTGAAAATACCCCCTCGCGGTTCTTCGAAAGAAGAGACGGACCTCGAGGCGATACTAGAATGTACTTTTTTAGATCCGTCGACTCGAGCGTAACTTGATATGCAATGGCAACCAGTATAGATAGCGCCTCGTAGGACGGAATAATTGCCGTTAACGAATGGAAAATCTCCACGAAGGGACCCAAGAACGCCAGCGTGAAGAAAAAATTCCAATGAACGCCATATTCCGTCACATGTTCTGCATAATCTAGCCCCTTTACGCTGTAGAGTCGGATCATGCCAAGGACAAAGAGCGGGATAGTGTGGCGGGCCGAACCGAGGAGCCTTTTGGGCAGTGATCCACTACTGCACGAGGATGCACTCTGGCTCTTGAGGATGGACCGAGTCGATACCACACCCCCGGAGAAGACAAACGATCCAACACCCAGGTCCATAAGCGAGGTGCCCCAGTTTTCTACTTTGGCAAATCGCCGGGGGAAGATGCCGAAGTCGACAGCAAGGATGGCCATGCATGTTGCTATCATCATGGCGCCGCGGTATGTGGTGAGGAACGGGCGGATTGGAACGGGATCTAGTGTATTTGAAGCCGTTTTCGGATCTTTCCCAGCATTTTCTGAAGGCTTTAAGGATGTAGGTGGGGGTTTGGCTTTTTGCGCCGGTTGGCTTCGTTTTGGGCCCAAGAGTAATAAAATCGCGGGTGAGATGAGGAGGACGTTGAGGATGAGGGGATTGGACGAATAAAGAGTTGAGGCAAAGAGGATTGCCGCGACATTGAGGAGGAAGTCCACGATTAATGATGCGGGTAAATAGGGGGTGAAGAAAGACTTGCGGGATTGGAGAGAGGACCAGAGGAGTACTGCGGCCTAGGTAAGAACGGTTGAATGTTAGCTCTTCAATTTTGGATAGTCAAGAGCAAAATCTCATTCACAATCTCTAGCTTACCGGTGCAACGAGCGTTACGGCATTAATCTCTAATATACTGCCGCCGGATAGGTTAGACACGAAGGCCTCCTTTCGGTCCTTGTAGGACTGTGGTGGTGCCTGCGGCATTGTTGTCCCCTCGTTGGAATGTGAATCACCTTGTCGGTGTCATGTGTAATCAAAATTGAAATGGCATTGTATAGCTTGTGGCACACAGCTCACAGTTATATAGAGCGCTTGCGGTAGAAGGACATGTATGCTGTTGTCAGAAAATGCCACGTTATCGTTGTTGATATCTATAAAAGGACACGATGTTGAAAACGCGCGGATAACTTTTTTTTGGCGCTGACATCAATGCCAAGACATCGCGGCTAAACATCTAATAACAAGGGGGTTTTCAAGAATAACTTTACATTAGGTTACTTTTTGCAAATTTCTTGCCTGTGCTCTAGATTGGGATATATATATAACCCGACCGCGGTGCAAGGACAGCTTCAGCAAAATTTGTACTATACATACATACAAATCCCCATCTCAGAAGATATATGGCGATGTAGACGGCCGGCGAGTTCCTGAAGCTGTCCAAACTGGCCGCGAATGCCAGTTCGCTTCGTCGCTCTGTGGGCAGTGATTTGCTAGTCGAGGGATGATCTCAATAATCCTTGACAATAATGAGTCTGAGGGGGAGAGGGGTAGCGTGCCTGCATTCAGATATCTACCCGATATCCCCAACTCTTATAAGGAGCTACCTCGAACCCTTTATAAACCCTTTATACCCTTCTTTCCACTACCAGATGAACAAAAAGGAAACGTCCAGTTAAAAGCGAGAAAAGGTGTGAAGAAAATAAACCCAGCGAAATGCCTGAACAATCTCCTCAACGTTTCATAACCACACATGATGCCTCAGGTGCCTCAGTCTTCGATGCTTCCATCCCCACCACTGTCCCGGATGCGGAATACCCAGGCGGTCTGAGCATTTTCAAGCCCAATATGCAACCGAAGGCTTTCCCACATCCCTCTGCGCAAACACCGATCTCCAAATCTACAGCAACCGCCTCGCCAACCCAGGAGGGATCGTTATTAACAACGGTACGGTCATGCGAACCATAGTTACCAAACCGGGCGCGCAGTCTCACATGCATCGTACATTGAACGTTGATACCGGAATGGTAATTGAGGGGAGCCTTGAACTATTGCTAGACTCGGGCGAGTCCAGGGTCTTGAGAAAGGGGGATGTCTTGGTGCAGAGGGCGACGATGCATAGGTTGAAGAACATGAGCTCGACGGAACCCGTTACCATGGTGGTTTTTATCCAGCCATGCGCCCTGTTGGAAGCAAGGGATCTCACGGCTGCATCGTCGATGTCGTCAATGGCTTCTGCAGCAGCCGCTGACAAGGCTGGGGCTCCGAAGAAAGCTTGAAGTTGTGATAAAGGTGGGAAATGCTCTGTTGATCTGGTGGTTTGGTTGATTTGGGCCTTTTCTTTGAGACAGAAAGGGTAAGGCCTGAAGCTGTTCGCCCATGACACCTTTAACCTTCACTGGAGACTTCTATGGTTGAGCTGTTCTTGGTGCGCGCGCGTGTTTATCACAAGGACGGTTGCTTTGTGAAAATAAATATAATTGAGGTAAGTTCGTTTGGTTTTATATATTGCTATTTTCTACCTTCTCTCTCTTTCTAACGTCATTAGGATCTCCTATAAAAATTTGAAAGGAGTGATCCATGGATGCGGCTATCAATATAAAGTTTCCCCCGGCCCCTTTTCCCCGATCCACTATTCCTTCGTATCCTATGACCAGATGAGCTAATGCATCACGCACCAGAATGCGGGTCAACGAAACACCCGTTAGGAGTCCATAATGTGTTCCTGGACCCCAATAGAGCCGAGAAACTTTTAAAAGTAATATAATGTGATGAGCATCGCGATCGAAGCAGAAGAAAACTCGCCGGGTTTAGGATGCCACGCGGAAAGAGCAGCAGGATGATGGGAGAGGGACTCCAAATCATATTTCATTCACGCTGTGTCCCTGGAGATGTAAAAATATACGTGGAAAAGGAGAGAAATAAATTATAAGTCACCGAAAAGGGGTTGGGTGGTTGCTACCGTTTTTGATAACAGTCCTACCGGGCACTTGTTGCATATAGATTGATATAGATACCTGTTTACGCATATATTCGCTGATAGCCTGGAAATAATTTGGCAAGGGAAGCTTTTTGTTTTGATCCCATCGTCCCGGAGATGAAAATTTAAAATGTTTTGTTTTCTTGTCTCTTCTACCACAGACGTATTTACACACATATAATCTGTATATATATTTACAAACATGAAACCTCCATCCAAATGGCGCCCTATTGCGTTCTTCAATTTTTTAATTTTTAATTTTTAATTTTTTTTCCCTTTGTCTCTTGTCTTTTTTTTTTCTCATGCGTTAATTATTTATTGCGTATACTGCTTCTGCAGCATCTTCGCAATTGTCTGAAGCTGGATATTGCTCGTTCCCTCGTAGATAGCTCCAATCTTGGAATCTCTGAACATCTTCTCAGCAATGCCCTCACGGACAAAGCCCATGCCGCCCATCCACTCGACCGCGGAGCCCGCGACGCGCCCAGCAACCTGCGACGCGTAGAGTTTGGCCATAGCGGCGTCTTGCACGAAGTCTTGGCCGGCTTCCTTCTTGCGAGCGGCGTTGTAGACGAGAGCACGGGCAGCGGCAATCTCAGTATACGCCTGTGCGACTTGGTGTTGCATGCCTTGGAATTCACCGATCAGCTGACCGAATTGGCGGCGGTCGTTCCAGATATAACTATTTTTTCATAGTCAGTTATTTGGTTCATTTAATTACCCTCCCAGGAGATTGATAGGTGGCTAAGACTCTGAAACAGAAAATAAAGAAAGACGTGAAAACGTACTTGGCAGCGTTCTCCCAGGCGCCGAGGGCGAGACCAGTCATTTGAGCTGCGATACCAATTCGCCCCTCGTTCAGAAGGTTAATGGCATATTTGTAGCCCTGGCCTTCCTCACCCAGGAGATTCTCCTTGGGGATCTCCACATCATCAAAGTTGAGGACACAGGTGCTGCTGGCGCGGATGCCGAGCTTCTTCTCCTTCTTCGCGATGCTGAATCCTGGCGTGCCCTTCTCCACAATAAACGCAGTGATTCCTTTGTATCCCTTGCTAAGGTCAATATTGGCGAACACAATGAAGAATCCAGCCTCCATGGAGTTGGTGATCCACATTTTTGAGCCATTGATCTTATATCCAGACTCGGTTTTTACGGCCTTGGTTTGCAGGGCGAAAGCATCGGATCCAGAGACGGGCTCGGACAAGCAAAATGATCCAACAGTATTCGTGGCAAGCTTTGGCAGCCACTTTCTCTTCCCCTCTGCATCGGCAAATTTGAGAACGGCGGTGTTCACGAGTGTGTTATGGACGTCACACATAACACTGACACTGGGGTCGACACGGGCCAGTTCCTCAATTCCAACAATGGCGGCCGTGAAGTTCATGCCGGCTCCGCCATATTCTTCCGGGATTTCCACACCCATCAATCCCTGTTCAAAGAGCTGCTCGACAATGGCGGGGTCCATGGTTTCGGCTTCGTCCATTTCGCGGACCTTGGGTCCAATCTGTTCTTGGGAGAACTTGGCTACGGATTCAGCCATCATGGCCTCGGTCTCGGATAAGTGAGTGATAGGAGTAGGGGTGAGAGAAGTAAGGTCGACATCGCGGCGGCGGGGAGTTGCAGAGAACGAGCGGGTGCTGCAAGATATTTCCAAAAGATATTAGGGTCCATTGGGCTGGATATACATATGATTTCTACCAGAGGATAAATGAAAAAGATTGAATTCTCCATCTTCTCCTTTTGGATTTGAGGGACAAGTAGGTATCATACCATTGAAAAGTCCTTGAGGGCACAGTCTTTCGCGCTGTGGGAAGAAGCGAAGCGATAGGCCTTTTAGCGAGCGGCCGCAGAGCTCGGGCAACTGACGCCATAGTAACGGTAATATCGACAGGGCACCCTCGTTTAGCAAATGTGAACAGCAGAGAAAGGCAATGAGAAGCAGCTCGTGGTAGGAAATCCAGTCCGGTATAGAAATTTACAAGAGAAGAAGTGTTGAACGTTGACGTTGAATATTAATTCGATGGTTGGCCCCGACACAATTCGGCGTCCAGCTCAGGGCACGTGGAGCAGCGGCTAAACCTCGGCTATTTGCGGTGGGAGATGTCACATGATCTTGATATCCCCAGGCTACGCTTTTCATATACTATACATACGCTGTATATTTATATAGAAATCTTGTCAACGCTGAATGATAGACCGCTATCATAGAAGACAGAGCAGTAAAAAGAAGAAGCAAGAGAGAAAGATCAGTTAGATCAGCCGATCTGACCCAAATCCAAGCAAGGTGCTTATATAACAGGTTATGGGGTAACTTAACTATGGGCCTTTGTCAAATCAAAGTGCTAGAGTCCTATCTCTAGACTGCTCATGGCTATCACAATACTGGACATCGATGATTTCCGACGATCGATATCATACCCAGGCAGACAGTGGTAAATCCCCACAAATTCCCAAAGAATGAAGACTTTCCCCGCCATGTTCAGGGGATATTCATATTCTTACTGAGGCTCACCCGACAAAATCCTGTGACATCTAACTCTGCTGGACAGGATGAAATAATGCAACGACATCTGGCACAGGATACATGTTTCACCTTTTGTCTATCCTAGAACTAGGATTTTTATTATCATGGGGGTGCATGGCCTTCAGGATATGATGGAATATCTGGTGGGCGTTGATAGAACTGCGCCTCCCAGGACAACGTCTGATCCATCCCATCAAAGTAACACGGGAGCTGGGCTATGATATTGCGGCAGGGCAAACAGTAAAATTCCCGAATGAACTTTAACAGTTCTCAAGGCTTGATACAAACCTCTGGCCAGGCCACCAGCCACAACCTGTGGCGTTCCAACCTTGCTGGAAGACTTGGGTCGCCTGGTGATAGGCGCTGGTGACATCATCCCTAGTCCCTGTCTAGGCTGTCCTGTAGCAGGATTCACAATTCTTCGCCAATGATGCCGTGCCAAGCTGTGTTGTCGCCGTGACGGACGCAGGCAGGGCCAAATATAAAACCTGCAGCGCCAATTCTAAAAATTCCTGAGTTGTGCTACTACACCTGCCAAGACACGCGGTGACGGCGCGGATGTGGCTGAAGCAGCGAAACCCCTCCCTCTATATTAAATAAATCCTCTCCCCGCCGCCGAACAAACGACAACCCATCCAACGCTTTTTCCAGGAGATATCCAGCAACCAGGGGAGAAATATCAGGCTTTCTTTCATTGTTGCAATTTGAAAGCGAACCCCTCCTTGTTTCCTTGTGCCGCCTGGTTTCACATACGCCGCGTATACTACTACTCCGTTCTTGCCTTGGCCTCACATTTCTTTTGGTCACCCTCCCCCTCCACCTACCGTGCCACATTTCCAACCCCCTGGCATCATCCCTGCTGACATTTATATACTTAGTCTCCTATCTTCAGTCAGTACGCACCGCGGTCATATAACCATGAATCTCCCCCCAAATTATTCTCTTTTCTAACCTCGTTTTTAATAGATTCAGTCTCTGCAGCGCGTCGCTTGCATACCTTTCGAGAAAATGTCTCGGGGTCCTTACGATCCTCGTTTGTTCTTCAGCATTGACAATATCCAGGCGTTCCACATTCAAGATGGAAATGAGTCGGAGCTCACCCCGTCAGGTCCCCAGACCCTCTCGCTCCTGATGGTCCCGACTTCCTACCCGCCTACGGATCCTGAGCTAGCCTCTCAGCCACCGGAAGAGGACTTTTACCTCCACCTTCACCTCCCACCAGAGTTGGATCTGCCGCTGCCCGCAACGACCCAGATATACCACCAGCCGCCAAACAGTTACCTCATCCCCCGTTGGGACCTAGGCCCAAATGCAGGAGCATTCACGCGGATCCAATTCCCGCAAATTGGTAGTGGCCCAGGCCAGGTGTCCCAGGAAGACGTGGATACCTTCGAAACCATCCTCGCCCAATGTACTGCGTTTCTCGAGCGATCTCCGCCCCCCAAATTTGCCCCATACAACCCTGCCACCTATGCCCCTGGGGAAGGATATGTCGGGACGGGGAACGAAAAGCCGCCTTCAAAGCAGCCTTCGAAGCCGCCTCCGAAGCACCAACCTGGTCAGATCGTCCTCATCGACGAGGAGAACGGGAGCGTCGTTGGTGAGTTGACAGAAGGTTTCAATGTTGTGGAGGATGCGGATGTGAAACACGGTTCGAAGAGTATGTCCCAATATAATAATTATCTACCTATCTCCGCAAGTAGATTTCTAACTCTAACTGATAGATCCGGTCGAAATACAACTCCCCACCGAAGGACAAGGAAACAATATTTCGGTCCATAACGTTTCTGACGAGTATCTACAAACCGCGAGGCACCCCGCCTATGCGAAGTCGACCATTGTTCAAACATCTGCCACAGCCTCCCGGCTCCTGGTTGCGGGTTCCGCATATATTGCTAAGTCTCTACAGTCCGGCGCAAACACCTTCACCCAGAAAACAAAGCCAAATGCGAAGCCCCTGACGTTTACGCCAACGACGCAAGCACGTATGAGGAGGATCAATACATTCTCAGGAAATGCGGCCGGGTTATCATCTAAAACTGTCAGTAAAGTTACCAGGATTGCTCAAAACTTCGGCGCCTCGGTTGCAGGCAAGAAAAGTTCGGATTCAACGCCTAGGGGCTTTGACGAGAACGGCCAACCGATATACCACCACTCCAAGCCCGGAATTTTGAACAAATCCCTAATAGCCTTCTCGACGATCGCAGATGGTATTGACCAAAGTGCCAAACATATTCTCCAATCAGGACCGCTCGCAGCGACTACAATAGTTGGCCACCGCTACGGCCCAGAGGCTGGGAAATTTACAGCGGAGCTGGCTGGCGGTGTTAAGAATGTTGGTCTAGTGTACATCGATGCAGCGGGAGTATCGCGGAAAGCAGTTCTTAAATCTGTCGCAAAGGGAATGGTTGTGGGACGCATGAAGGATGGGCAGCAGATTGTTGTTGGCGGCGGGGACTCTGGACCATTCAGTTCCGGCACCCCTGGGCAGGGTCCCCCTCCGTTCACGAGGTCGAGTTCCAGCCCGGGTTTTTCTGGCCTCACTCCTGGCAACCGTTATCATCCTCGGGGTCCATCCCCGTCGCCTACTCCGCCGCCTGCCTATGGTTCGCAGACTGGGCGATCCCTGGGTGGGAGTACGCTTCGAAATGGCAAGTAGCTAAGCTGGAGTAGTTTTTGCAACAGAAAATGTGTTGGGAGAATAGGGGGCCAACAATCTTTTTTCCTCCTTTTCTTTCGTATTTCGTATTTCGTATTTCTTTTTTCTTTCTTTTCTTTTCTTTTTTTTTTTCTTTCTTTTTCTTTTTTTCCTTCGCTCACTAGATGATTGATAACGGACGCGTTTATGGATTTATTTTGGTTTTTACTCGGGTTTATGACTTTGCGACATTGGCTGCAGGTACCCCATATGGTCTCATTTTGTGTGCAAAGGCAATGTCTGGGAAATTTTCTATCGGTAACCTTTCTTATAATGTCCCTCGTATATACACTTTCTTTCAATGTTCTTCAGTGTTTATGGCTTCCCTTTCTTTCTCTGACTCGTCATTTCTCCCGTTTTACCTCCCTTTCTTCTCCCTCTGTAAGTCGACGTGCCACTTCTCTCGGTGGTTTCCCCTTGACTAGTCTATGATTTATGCCTTGCTGCACTGTCTGCTGGGTTCCTAGACCGCTCCCACGGTTCGTGGGTTAATTTATGAAGCAACGATAATTTTATTTCCATTGAATTTTGCGTCGACGGGCGGTGGACGAACGTAACTGAATTAGCATCACTACTGTGACTGGACTTGCAGGTGTCATTTTCATGCATCCTCTCCATAGGTATACAATAGAGCACTTAATCGTAGATATATATATGCACACATAGCTGTCATATTTGGTAACTCAAATTGGTTCCAGAATCGGTCAAATCGCGGTCAGGTTAAGCTTAACTCCAACTTGAGCCGCAACCAACCGTTTGACAACTTTCTTTCGACATCAGTCTATCAATGTCAACGAGAAAGAAAGAGAGAAAGGAAAGAAGAGAGGGGGGGAGGAATAAAAAATAAAAATAAAAATAGAATAAAATAAAAAAGGTAAGAAAAGAAGAAGTGGAATTTGTGCGCTGTCTCAGACTGCAGACTGCTTGTATAGCAGGTTTGGGTCCCAATTTTCCAGTTGTCAACAAAAAAAACCTTTCAATCCAAAAAGGAAGCTTCATTCGTTTCGTGGAACAGAAGTTGAATATGGATATGCTGCCTAATAATTTAATCTGCAAACGCAATGAACATTACCATGGTTGTGGTGTTTTTTTTAAAACCAACCCAAACTCACCACCACCAGGTCGGTCCTAATCCTCCTCCATGCGTTCTCCCCGCGGGGCAGCTCGCTTGTTGGATCTCGTCAACCCTACTAGTTTAAACTAGCACCAGGCAACCACCGCCTAAGCGTTAATCGTGCAGATGCGATTGGAGGCAGAGAGGCACAAGCTCCAGCGAGAATCGGAAGAATCATATTGAACTTCCCTCTCTACCTCAAAATGCCTGATATTTCTGCCAATTTTGAGAGCAGCTGTGCATCCCGAAGCAAGTGAATTAACCTAAAATGGCACTGCTGCCTGCCATCGCCTGATTGACCTTTGTCCTCCCTGATATTTCGAACGGGAAGTAAACTCAATTCAAAAGGAGCTTCAGATCCGTGATTTTATCAACTTCTTTTCTGTTTTCCACCAGCAACAAGAAACAGCCCATTGATTCTTCACAGGAAATTATTGTTCTACATTGTCTTTGCTTGAAATTTTCGGAATCCAATTCATCTATCCATCTTGTAACTTTTCCTATTACTATTCGCTCTTTTCCCCTTGAACCCAAGCTCTTCTCTCAACCATGGAGCTTCCATCCATCCCTGTTCTCCTGAACGACTTCGTTCCCTATCTGGATAAACACAACCGTCACGAGATCCTCACTGGCGAGGCGATGGCCCCCTTCAAATCTTACGAATCTAAGCTCCGTGAAATATTCGCTCAGGAGCCCAACCATATAGCAATTGCGAACCCTCAAGTCAATGTTGTGCCGCTCTACATTCAGTCCAATGTGGATGTCAAGGTGAAGGCGCGGGACCTTGCCGAAGAAAGTCCCGCGGATGCTGAAAAATATATCCTTCCCCTAACGGCCGAAGTGCGGAAAAAAGATTCCACCCCTGCCGTAGTTCCCGCTTTCGATCAGTTTCTCGAGAACTTCAGGATCTTTTCAGAATCGTCTCTGGTGGATATGGACTGGAGCAATGTTGTCGTTGCCGGAAGTGCGGTGACTACGTGCCTGTTACCTGTTCCTGACAAGTTCCGCATGTCACGCAAGGCGCAGAGGCAAGTTGCTACAATATTCTATCTGCATGGTACTTGTTACTTGTGTTCGATCCATTGTTCTGACTGCTTTACAGAGAATATTATCACGAGAAGATCGCCCCCTCCTCAGACGTTGACCTGTTTCTTTACGGTCTTGACGAAGAGCAGGCGATTGAGAAGATCAAACAGATTGAGAAATGCATCCGCAACAGTATTTTGGAGGAAGTCAGCGTATGTCTATCCCATTAGATCTCTGCAGCCTTGGATAAATTGGCTGAGAAAGTAACAACGGCCGAAAACAGGTTATCCGAACCAGAAATGCCCTTACTATTGTTTCGAAATATCCTACTCGCCACATTCAGATAGTGCTCAGGCTCTATAAAAGCGTCTCGGAAATCTTGACTGGCTTTGATGTCGATTGTGCTTGTACTGCATTCGATGGCCGTCAAGTTTGGGCTAGCCCCCGGGCAATTGCCGCTTTTGCTACTCAGACTAATTCCATCGATCTTACCCGCCGTTCGCCTTCGTATGAAAACCGCCTCGCCAAATATGCCCATCGTGGATTCGAAGTGTATTGGCCGGCTTTAGACCGTTCAAGGTTGGATCCCACGATATTCGAAAGAAGCTTTAACCACGTCGTTGGCCTTGCACGGCTCATGGTTATGGAGAAGCTCCCTACTCAAAGCAGCAGAGAAGATTACATTGAGCAGCGCCGTGAGGAACGGGGCAGAGCTCAGAATCATCACAGGGTTTATTATCGCAACAGGGCGAATCTGAAAGAAGTACAACCCGAAGATGTTGCCGAATGGGTGGAACAGGAAGATGTTTCTAACTATCATACGTTCACTATCCCGTATGGACCAAAGTACACGGCCAAGAAGGTAACTTTTTGACTCAGGATTGCGCTTTTATGTACAGGTGGCTGAATGCTAAATTTATCAACAGATCGAGAAACTAGTTTATAAAAAGGATTTGCTTTTGAACGCGGAATGGAACAAGCCAAAAGACCGAAAGGTGAATTTGCACAGACATCCTGCATTTTTCGGCAGCGTGCAGCATGTCATCGAAGATTGTTGCGGCTACTGCCCAGTTCCTGTTTCGGACGAGGAAAAGGCCGTTGCGGAGGAAGAGGGCAAGAAATATTTGTCAGGCAAAATCCAGTTTATGAAAAACGATCCGGGAAGACAAACCATCGGGAGCTTCAATCCTATTACTGATTCAGACTGGACTGAATTCGCATACATTGGTGACACTGAGAGCCTCTGCCGAGCTATTGTTGAGGGGGACCTTGCTCACGTAGAAAAGTGCTGTGCTCAGGAGGACTTCAACGTTGATAGGCGAGATTATACAGGACGAATGCCCCTTCATTTGGCGATCATGTGCGGAACACCTCGAATCGTACGATGCCTCATCAACCGTGGGGCGCGCCTTGTCAGTCGCGTTGCTGGCGGTTTTACCGCTCTTCACCTTGCTGCGGCTCGTGGAGATGTGGAAATCCTTCGGGCGATTCTGAGGAAGAGCGAAGCAAACCAGGTTGAATATCTGGAGAATTCTGGTACAAAATGGAGAAATGAGAACCACTCCGTTACTTCAAGTGAGGATGACGACCATAAAGAAGAAGATGATGACATTTCAGTGGTGAGAAGTGGCACAGAGTCTCCGTATGCTGTGTCGCAGGGGTCAATGATCATGATCACGGATCCATCAAATGCCCCTCCGGAAGAACATAATGAGGATGAAAACGAGCCTAACTTCTTCGATGATATTGGAGTTCTTTCCTGGGATATTCCGTTGGCCCCACTTCATGTGGCTATTTTATACGGCAATGTGGACATTATCACCAGCCTTACCACAGAGTTCGGCGCAAATGCGAGCCAACCTTTCGTCCGAAAGGACTACGGCAATTCTGATGTAACCTTTTCCATGATCCTTGCCATGCACCACCCGTTCGAACAATCCGCAAATCTGTTACGAGCCCTCCTCGAAACCGGCGCCTCTTCGACGCAAGCCAACAAGGACCATTTAACCGCGTTCCACTCTCTTGTACTGACCGGCCAGCCTCAGCATATAGATATTATATTCGACATCGACGGGCCGGCTGCCCAGCTTGCGATTGACCATCCGTGGATAAACACATATTGGCGCCCTCACTGTACCGTGCCTTTGAATACAGCAATTACATACAAGGGAGCCGGGATGATTGAGAAGCTATTGAAGAAAGGGGCAAGCATATCAGTGCCTAATGAGTATCAGCAGCGCATCTGGGCGCGCCGAAAATACGAGGACAAGAAGATCGAGCATTCTCTGCGTCATCCGATTATTCAAGCCGCTGAGTTTTCGAGCCCTGCCGTTGTCAGGCAACTTTTGGATGCTGGAGCTGATGCTAATGCAATGACCCTGGAGTCTCAGCGATTAGTTGGTAATGACCCATACAATGCAAATTATGGCAGGACAGTTCTGGACATCATTTGCGAGCGCCGAACGTGCCTGGGATCACTTTGTAAGCCTCCAGAAACGCCAATCACCATTTCCGAGTTCGAACCCGACGCTTTTTATTTAAACGGCCTGGTGGAAGGGACCTTCGAACATTCCTTTGCTCAGAACGAGCTTTCAATAGCAAAATTGACTTCAGAGGTCATTCAAGATAAATTGAATTCTACAGCGATTATCGAGTACAAAAAACAACTTGGTTTGAAGGTCGACTGGATTAAACGCGAAATCAAGGAGCTGGAGGAACTCGAGCAAGCCCTGAAAGATAAGGGTGGTAAATCGTTTGCGGAATTGCACCCAAACCACTCGCCATCCATACCTAAAATTCAAGAATTACCTAAGGCAACAGCGGTTTCGAAGAAATTTCAAGTCCTCTATACATTCACTGATATAGATGTAGGGGACTTGAAAGCGAAGAAGTATATTCCGCTGTATGTTCTTCCCTTTTCGCATCATGTTTTCCCCTCCACTCCCTACCTACCTGCTTCATTTACTTCCCATTCCTTTTTTCTTTTTTTCCTATATTATTTGCTTTCAACTACTAATTAGTTTTATTTAGGTTCCAAGCCGCCTGGGATGGTGATATCCAGAAGGTTAGACAGCTAACAACGGAGCAAACCACTACCAAGAAGTTGCGTTCTTCTCTCCGACTAACAGCTACACTGAAAGCACAAACCATGGACATATTCACCATTGCTGTAGCTCGTGGTCACTTTGAACTGGCTAAGTTCATACTGCAAGATGTTGACGCCCACCAATGCAAGCCGGATACCAAAATACCGACCCGTAAGGTCTACGAGGTTGTTGTTGACAACGATAGTGACAATGATAGTTACAACTCTGACTCTGAGCCTGAAGACTGGGATAATGAAGGCGTAAGAGTCCATTTTGATATTGTTGAGGACCAGCAAACCATTGATGATGTCCGGGAGCCCGACGTCGGGAAATATAGTACCTCGGCGCTGTGCCTCCTCAACACGAGCCGAGATATGTCTATGTTCTTGGGCGATGAAAACGTGAATGTCATGAAGCATGAGTATGGGAGCGTGGCCGATGTTTACATATCAAATTGGCGCCGGAATCAATCCGTAAGTAGATCCTTTTCAGCCTAGTTCTTGCCACTCCATATCGATATGTTATACTAATGTATCCCTCTACTGCGCTATAGGCCGCCCCGGTTGATATGGACCAGCTCAAAACAGATCACCGCATAGATTTGATGGATTTTGCCATTCGGCGAAACGATATGGCAATAGTCAAATTTTTGGTTGAGCAGAAAACGCACTACATGACCAACACCCCAGGAGAAGTCAACGGTATAGCTTCTCCTGAAGCCGCGCACAAATTTATCACTGTGTTGCCTGAGATACTGAACACGTGCATGAAGTATGGTCGCACTGAAATGTTGGGCTATCTTATGTCTAAGACTGGGCTTGGATTTCCGTTCCAGGCTCTGATGAAAGAGGCCGGCATCAAGGCCGAAATTGAACCCAAGGTATGTACATGTAGCTGAGAATAAGTATTAGCTAGAATATTTGAAGTTTTGCTAACAGCCAATCAAGTACTATCGAGGTTTATCTGTATATGGCAAGAAGCGGACCGATTGGGCGTCTGAGAACGGTTATCGTTCCCGTGACAAATTTTCTAATTCACACTCGTTACTCTTGCTCGCCATTAATGAGGGTAATCTTGATTCTGTCAAGTGGTTCCTTACCGACGAGCCCGAGAAGATATACAGGGAATTCCTCCACACCTATAAGGATGATCCACGTCTAGCTCCCCTCTTCAAAATAGAGGGAGGTATTGATGATATGCTGGCATCTTGGCTGGGTGCTCGACGTAAGTTGTGCTGTTCTAGTTGGCTTCGTCTTAAATGTGCACCACCAGTCTTGAACTAACGTTGGTTGTAGGAAATTTGGCTCTTCACTGCGCCATACTTGCCTCGCCATCTGAGGAATTCGGCACTTCTGTGGTTCAGTTTATCCTCGAAACATTCCCGGATTCGTTGCACACCAAAAATGACTCAGGTTTCACCCCTCTCCACTTAGCATTTGGTGGCCGGAGGATTATGGCTGCCAGGGTGCTTGTTGAAGCCGGGGCAGATCAAACTGCTCGAGATAACGATGGCCATAACATGCTTCATCACATCTTCGCATCCAATATTTCCACTGTCAGGGACTCCCCCAAACTTCTAAAGACATTGAGCGAGATCCTGGATCCCGAAATTATTCCAATCCTCGCGCAAAAGAGATCCCGTTTACAGACTGGAAGTGGCACCCGGGCCAGACTTGGTAGGCAGACACCATTATCACAATGGCTTTCACGCAGTGAAGGGATGGAAGTTTCCACTCTTAAAGCCATTCTGGACATCACAGGCGGAAAAGAGCTCTACGTCCTTAATGAGCAAGGGAACTACCCCATCCATGACGTTACCAAGGAGGGGAAGATTGAATTTGTCCAAGCGTTATTAGAGAGGGATCCTTGCATGGCCGTCTTGGAAAATGCTACAGGAACGACCCCATTAGAGGTCGCGGAGAACAAACTCATCTCTTACCTGATCCCCGCCTATTCTAATATAGAAAAGAAAATAAGCAGCTGCGCCGATATTCAGTTTGATTCTAACAGAATTGTCTCCGAGCTTTACCGTGATCTCTTCAACAGATGGCAGAGATATCCTTACGAGTTCGGCCCTTCTGAGATCTACCGTTCCAAGGGAGACAAACCAATCATCTCCATGGAGGACTGCACGGAAGGCAAAATCGTTCAATTGCTGCGGAACGCTGCCGCGAAACAGGGCAAGAAGAGGATCCTCGTCAGCCTGCAGGATGCGAACGAACTTGTGAGGCGTCTATCAGCTATTCACCAAACTACGGCTGCGGCTGCGGCTGCACAGCGCAGGAATCGAGATGGCGATTTCGATGATTATTCCCACGAACCCGATGGGGATGAGCATCGACAGAGCGACACTAATAAACAAGATGAAGTGAACCTGTGGCTACACAAGCTTTCGGGTGAGAATTTTGAGGTGGCAAAGATTCTGGAGGAAGAAAAAGCGGAATTGGAAGAAGTAAACAAAGAGAAGAAGTGAGGGGGGGGGGGGTGCACCTCAAGGAATGATGTGCATGAAGCTGACGAACCGATGGAAGATCCTACACAAAGATGGGGAAATGAAGAAGCTTGATAGGATGAGGTCGAAATAAGGGGCAAATGACGGCGCTCATATCCAACCAAGTTCACTAATTTTATTTTAGAATCTCCAATGTTTGAAATCTCTCTATACTATTTTGTACCTTTGCTACCTACCCCTTTATTGAGCCCTCCTCCGCTAGCACATTTCACAAGGTCCATGTACCCATCGGTACAGCCGATGAAAAAGGGAGGTCAAGTCGTCCAGCCCACATTATTTAATTGTACCGTGCCTCCGTCACCACAACTGGGTGGAATCAGCTGGATGGATGTCCGCCGCAAATATATATATATATATATTAATATTTTGAGCCCCCGTCCAGTAATACCCGAGTTAACGTCAAATATGGGCGGGCATACATAAATAGGGAGCGGGCGCGGCGGGTGCAAAGAGATCGTCACAAATTCCCCGAGCACCAACCATTAGGCCCTTCCCTAGTTATGTTTCTTTGATTGAGACGGCCGCTATGAAATTTCCATGATATTGGTAGTATATTATTAAACTCTCTCTTGGCTATATTGATTTGGTTACTGCGGTCCTTCAAGCATCCGCTTTATACAAGAGGGAGGGGAGGGGGGGGAAGTGCTTGTGAAAAGTGATGTATGCAGGGATTCCCCTACAACGTGTATTTAAACTCTCAGGTTATTATATTACAATTAATCATTTCTTCTCTCAAAACATATTAACTTGTGAAACTGCGCAAAATAAATAATAATACATAATATATGACAGACAGAAAAATAGTAATGATCAGGAAGTGAGTGAGCAGAGTGAATACTTCCCAGCTTTGAGCGCAAGTCTGTATTGTACTGTATTTCTAGAAAATAAATTACATCTGTAAATCCCAATCCATAGTTACTAATTATTATGCGCGTCACACTCATGAATAATAATAGTACGGAGGGTCACTAACTACTTTACCGGGGTACGTACACCTGCGTCTGCTCCGGATGAATGTGTGAAACTAATTTTCTTCAGGAGAAGACTTAGCAGGGTTGCATACATAACTAAGTTACCCTTCCCATTCTCATTCCATCCCATTCCTTGCAAGCGGAAGAAAAAGAGAGTTCAGGCACTACTACTGTGCACTGGTTTTCTCCTGAAGCGACCAAGGATGAAACATAATAAGTTTACCCAGGCAGGCTGTGGCAAGAACTATATAGTACAACTGATGCAGAGAAGAAACGATGTGGATATACATACATAGTAGAATAATATATAGATTTCAATATCAAAACCATCATCTATCGTAAAAATCACATACTCTGATGATCAAAGACATTGAAGAAGGCACTTGATAAAAACAAAACACACGTGCACAAACAACTGTTGTATTGAAAAGCAGCAATATTTGCTCTGAATTGTTGCTACATTATTTAAATAATAATAATAATAATGATGATGGTTAATTATCCATGTGGAGTGGACATGATTATTATTATTATTATTACACACGCACACACACACACACATATGCCAAAAGATCCCTGTATTCATATTTCATCAAAGTTTCATTTCCTCGCTTGATTGATTTCATGATTCCTTTGCAGCGCTTGCCTTGCCGTCCATCACAACCTAAACGAATCGGGACTACGCAGCGTACTATTTAAAATATCAAACGGCGGATCAATCTTGCTTGGCTAATTTCCTGGTTTCAAGAGGATGCGCTTGGCTCCTCTTTTGAGAGTTATAAATAACTATGGCAATGATATCAATTTGTGTACGGAGTAGTTACGGAGGATAAGGCGAGCCGAAAACTGTTGCCAGCAGACAGTTTTAATTGAAAAGGATAAAAAACTTTATCTCTTTTTTCAATAAAGATTGGAAAATGATAGAAATAAAACACTTATTTTAGAGGGTGTCATCTTCCGTAGGTAGCGTCGAGTTTGATGTTTAATTTTTCGCCACATTGCCACGCTGTCAATTCTTGACTCAGTCATGGAGTTGCTTTGATGAGGCTTCAGCCCTGTAACGAAACGTCTGGCACCTAACTTATCGCAGGGCCGGGTCGGTTGGGATAAACGGTTTTCTCTTTTTCTTTTCTTTTTCATGTTTCCTATCTACCAGCTTTGCTATTAGATTCCCTCTGGAAGAGGTTCAAAGATGTTTAAAAAGAAAGAAAAAATCAAGGCCCCTTTGTTTTAAGGTACCCGCAGCAAGCAGATAAACAAGATTTTTGTCTTTCTCTACAAACCATGTTTCCCATCCAGAGGGGCCCTTGTGCTGCGCGGTATTCCCAGGGTTTATTTTGATTTTCCCTTTTCGCGAGTTTTCCCCTAGTTCTAGGAATTTGGTAGGGATAATAATAGAAATTGTGGTTAAGGGGACTTTCCGCTGAGCTTAGCAGTGAGCTACTACTACACTATGGACGCGTTGATTATCATTCTTTGCATCTGTAGTAGTTATGTATGTATGTATGGCACGGTGCTGCTGGAGATGATGTGATGCTTGGACTGGTTTGATGTTGATATTCCATCCGTCTATTTTGTTCATTATTTCATTCATTAGAAGGCATCGGGGATTTCCTAAGCATTGTTAGTTAACCATGGCAGGGATGGGATAGTGATTTGTGTATGGGTGATATTTGGGGGAGAGACTTGAGCCGCCGTCCTCTCAGACTCTGCCAGGTCATAATTAGTTACCCGATCCAGCCATCCCCTTCGACCTTCAATCCTCGCAACTCGCATCACTCAAGTCAGTCAGCAGCCAGTCACTCATCTCCTCTCTTACATTCGCTCTCTTGGTGTGCGCACACTCTCTTGTATTATTATTCTGCTCTTGTAGTTGGTGCTGTTGCTGTTGTTGTTGCTGCTGTTGTGGTGGTGTCGCTGTCTAGTAGTAGTAGTAGTGGTGGTGGTGGTCGATCCCCTCCGTGCTAATCCTCACTTAACCCGCGCCCGCCGCCCGATTCGTTATTGTCCTTCCTCCACTTTGGCTGCGACTCTCCAGCTCAACAACTCACCCTCGTTCCTTGTCCGTCCATCCCATCGGTCTCTCCCACCTCCTCGTCGTCCTCCTCCTCCTTTCCTCCTTTCTTCTTCCGCCTCCCCTTTTTCCCTTTTTTTCCCCCCCCCCCCCCCCCCCCTTTCCCCTCCTCTCCCTCCTTTCTCTCGCGCGCCCTTTTTCTCTCTTCAAAGACCAGGCCGCCCGGTCGGCTTCTCCAGGTCCTACGGCCGTTCCCTTCTCCACCCACGCCCCCTTTCGTTCCCTCGGTCCTACCGTCGATCATGCTGCTTTGGGTCGACCCGATATCCAATCGTACCCTCGACTAATTCTCGCTGCTCTCCCAAAGCTCTGATTACTGGAGCCTTGTCACGTCCGTGTTCGTCGTTTGAACCATCCCTCCCATATCGTCCCCTCTCGTCGTCCTGCCAGCCAGCTGCCATCACGTCAGGCATCGCCCGCCAGCGTATCGTGTCCAACCAATTGGCACCCGCCTATCGTTTCGCGCCCTGGGACCACAGACATCCTGTTTCCATCACCCATCACCCACCAGGCAGGGGACTTACGTACTTTACGCTCATTCAGTGCTCTGTCTGTGTGTGTACCGTAACGGAGGTGGAAAATAAACAAAAATAACCATCGGGTTGTCTTGGTGCTCCTAGATACAGCAGCGGAAGGCACGTTTGGCCACGGTCCACCACCCACGCAAGCAGCAAACAACTCTCTTGTTGTCTCAATTTCTCGCTGTTTCTGCTGCTGAGGCATCTGTTGCTGGTCTAACAGAACCACCCAAACGCGTTGCCGGTCGATTTCACTTTTGTTCTCTTTTCTTTTTTTCCTAGTTTTCCTTGTGTTGTTGTTGTTGTTCCCTCGAAGTGTTGTCCACGCTTTTCAACTGAACCACGCTCCAGTCGAATCCGGATTTCCACCCAGCGTGCAATTGGACTTCGCCTTCACACGCCAAACTAAACAACAAACTACAACGAGCAACACAACGCACTGGCCGGTTCACATCTACCAATTGTGAATCGTCTCAAATAATCACTCTCACGGGACGCGTTGAGAAAACAATTGTTGCGTCTTACAATCTTTTACTGATGATTTGGACAACTAGCAACTATACTCTATAAACGTGGGTAAACAAATATTGGGTTTTCGGGTGTCTGTGTAGGCAAATGTCAATTGCTTGAAGCAAAGGCACGCATCCGTTTCCTTCGAAAATAAAAAGGCAATTGGTTGTGAAAGTGGTAATTAACTTCTGGAATACGGAAGATCTAAATCACCACTGTTCACCCTCTTGCTGTTTCATTTTCCGAGGGAAGGCATGTCGTCTGCTATGCAGACAGTCTCCCAGCATAGCACCACTCAGTCTCCCAGTCAGTATGCATCAACGGGATCTCCGAGACATCCAATTCACCAAACACCAGTTGGACCACGCCAGTCAAGCCGGCACAGGACTGATCATGCTGCCGCACGCAACTCTCCTGTTAGCCCTGACCAATTCTACTCCCCTACCTCTGCCGTCACTTCGACAATGAATTCTCCACAGCATCTTCCACTACCTCCCTCCACCCATGGTTCCCCTGTTACTCCATCTACAGGCCAAGGGTCCAGCAGTAATACGCGCCCGCGCCCGACGCCCACTCTATCTGATGGCCCTGGTTCTCCCCCGATCCCCCCTCCCCGCACATCGTCAAATCAACGAAGTCGCACTTCGTCAACTGCTCCATCCGCCAATGCCTCCACTGAACGAGTAGCGAATCCCAAACATTCTAGGAGGAGGGGAGATGGTACACGAGATCGTGGGGACCGGGATCACACCCATGACACAAACGGCAGGGACATGCCGAATGATGATACCCCATCAGGCGCTGCTAAGCGTCGAAAAGGCCCGCACTCGCCTGACGGCCCACAACGAGCTGCAAGTACGCGGGAACCAAGAGACCACGCCTCACCTTCCGCAATGGAGACCCGATCTGAGGCCGCAATGGGACCAACTCCGATTCCCGCTGGCATTGAGAAACAGGGAAGCACGGTAATTAATCGGATGGTAATAACAGATCCCGAAGTCGATATCGTACGAGAAAAAGAACGCCTAGCGGAAGCCCAACCTGCCCCAGATTCCCTGTCAGGGCTGGGCCTTGTAAGCAGTGAGGGTGTCGACGATGGAGGCCGTGGTGCTAGAAGCCGACACGATTATTCAAATTCCTCGTCGAGGCGAAAAGAAACTACTTTTGGCGACTATGTTCTTGGTCAAACCATTGGCGAGGGTGAGTTTGGGAAAGTTAGACTTGGTTGGAAGAGGGACGGCAGCGTGCAAGTCGCAATCAAATTGCTCAGAAGGGACAGCCTTGGAAACAACCCCAGCCGCCTCCCGAAAATATATCGCGAAATCTCAATCCTAAAAGAGCTTTCACATCCAAATATTGTCCGACTGCACGAGATGGCCGAGACCGATCGACATATTGGCATTGTTTTAGAGTACGCATCCGGAGGTGAATTGTTCGACTACATCCTTAACCACCGGTATCTAAAAGATAACCCTGCTCGCCGCTTATTTGCCCAACTGGTTTCTGGCGTAGGCTATTTGCATAAGAAAGGGATTGTCCACCGGGATCTCAAACTGGAGAATTTGATGCTCGATCGAAACCGCAATATCATCATCACAGACTTTGGTTTCGCAAACACGTTCGACCCTACCGATGAATTGGGCGATGAAATCGAATATAACCTGACGAACAGAGAATTCGTGAAGAGAATGAAACTAGACCGGCCTAACGCAAAGGGTTTAAGACGTGGTGACCTTATGCAAACTAGCTGTGGCAGTCCGTGTTATGCAGCTCCAGAGCTAGTCGTTACCGATTCATTATACACTGGGCGTAAAGTTGACGTTTGGAGTTGTGGGGTTATTCTGGTATGTTTGGTCGAGGCTTTTCGTTTTTGTCCCAATTTCTTTTTTTAACTAACATTGATTTTTTGTTCTAGTACGCTATGCTTGCTGGCTATCTCCCCTTTGATGATGATCCTGCGAACCCAGAGGGCGATAACATAAACCTTCTTTACAAATACATTGTAACCACACCTCTCACTTTCCCCGAGTACGTCACACCACATGCGCGGGATTTGCTACGGTGCATTCTTGTCCCGGATCCGCGAAAACGGGCCGACCTCTTCGAAGTTGCGCGACATAGCTGGCTTGCGGAGTATGCACATGTAGTATCGCACATTACGAGTAATACCACTAATGTGGCTGATATCGCGAACACCACTGTTCCGGCCGGTAAGTCCTTACTTTTTAGATCGCGGAAAGAAAATATACTCCCAAAACTTTGAAGCCCACTCTCTCTTCATTCCCTTGATAATACGACTGCTAAACGGTTCTACAGAAGACCAACAACAAACACCATCCCTTGCTCGTAGCGCTTCTGTTAGAGAACCTCCCAAAGCCCAGCATCAGAGCAACGTGTCTCCAGTGGGAGGTCTCAGCCACCAGCCAGGCAAAATATCACAGGATGATGAAAAGCAAAAGCCAAGAGACGCGAAAAGGAGAACAGTCCAAGTTGAATATGTGCCACCTCAGTCTCAAACTGCTCGTGGTGACTCAACCACCGCCTCTTCGTCTTTGGGTCCAACGTCCGGTCATGCAGGATTATCTCAAGGGCGACCAATGTCTAGTGGTCGAGAACCTCCTTCGAGTGCAGGGGCTGCTGCCCCCGCTAAGGCTACGATAACTTCGAGGTCTAAACCATTACCGAGGGATCCGCCTGTAAACACCCATCCTACAAGCTATAACACAACGGACCGCCTTCAAGGTAGGCCACAATCACATTCTGGAAACCTAGCCCAATCGATCTCAGACCTAACTGGTACATACTCTGGTATTCAAGGTACTTTATCCCAAACGACCCGGCCTCAAACTGGCGGGTCCCTGGCTTCTACAGGTGCTGGCAAATATGACAGCCGTCTGCCGTCTCGAGGTTCATATAGCCAACCTGCAGCTCCCGCGGTTGCAACAACCAATGTGCAGGGACGACTGGCCCAACCAAAAAATGGTAAAACTTACAGTGTTTCTCCGCCGATCGCTCAACAAACTACAGAGAGTTCAGTTGGTCGCCCGAGCACAAATCAGGATTACAGTGCTGTCCAGCAGCAAGCACAAACCAAGAGCCACAAGCGTTCTAGCACTGTGAGTAGCATTGGAGAGAAGTTGTTCGGGCGATCTGGCTCCATATTCGGTGGACGATCATCTCAGCATGGTCAACGATCAAGTAAACGCTATCCTCCAACGAGTATGAAGGAACCTATTGTCTCGGATGAACCACGAGCATCAATGGACTCGCGTCGATCGATTTCACACTCTTTTCATCGGAGACACGTTGATTCCAGCCAAGAGCATAGTGCCAAGCCACGAAGATTCTCTCTCTTGCCTGCGTCGTTTTCTTTGAAAGCGTTCTCATCCAGCAAAGAAACGCCTCCTACTGCTGACTCCCACATCGCCCAGGTTAATGATTCTGTTCACGCTCCAGAGAGTCGAGGACATCAGCAGCAACAGCAATCGCAGTCTCTATCAACTGCCAATGCTTCCTCGCAATCTCATCATCCACGAGCCGCTGACCACACCCAAGACGAACAAGGATTTGGCAACACCAATGACCAATTGAATATGATGAATTACTCTGCTCAAATCGATCAGCAGTTTGCCGCCCTGCATGGCGACTCGGAACCCCAGTACGAAAGCAACCCTTATGGATCACCTCACATTGCCGCTGAGCAATATTACCAAGAGGACCCCCGTGCCAACTCTTCTTCGGCGAGATACTTGTCCGAGCCGCAGAGTTCCAGTTACACGGAACAGTTTATGCCAAGTTATCCGGAAGGATATAATCCGGGCCATGGCAATGGTAACGACTCGCGGCAATCGATACAGCCTAGCCACCAGTCTGGGAGGGGATCCAATGTACTACAGAAGAACCATCGCAGGTTCGCGGATGCATATGAGCACGAGAAAGATCCGTCAAATCATTCTGGCAGCTCTGGGGCTGCAAGGAGGGTTATGGACTTTTTTAGGCGACGGGGCAAGTACCGCGCTGGTGATCATCAGTAAGAAATTGGTACTTGAGCTTGCAATCGTCAGCTTAGGGAAATCACATGCCACACACGCAGGTTTTCAGCAGCAGGGAAAAGGGAGAAGTGACGCAGAGATAAAGAAAAAGAAAGATTTTTTGTGGATTGGTATTTATTTTTTACTGGGGAGGATTAAGGGCGCCAAAAAAAAAATTTGGTGAATGGTTGGAAGCTAGCAGGAGAACAGAGGGAGGTTTTATATGCCCCGCCCCGCAAGAACAACCAACATCCAATCCTCCCCGATTAATTTCGTCCATTTTGCATATACTCACACACAGACGTTTAAATCCTATTTCGGGGGGGTAGACAGTTACAGCGAGAAAAAAGAGCCCCTTCAAAGCAAGGCTCTCTCGACTTCATGACGCCGAATCAGCCCCCCTCGACGCTTGTACCACCATATCACATTTACCCCTTTTCCCATTATATGTGTGTCCTTTTTCGAATTCGAAAATTTTGAGTTTTCTTCTCTTATATGAATTTTATTCCCCCTTGGGCGTGTCTCGTTCGTCTTTTTTTTTTTTTTCGTTTCTGTATGTTTTTTTATATTTCTTTGTCCATTTCGACTGGGAAAACCGATATTCTCTCCGCCATTGATTGATTGATCTCCCTCTTCCGCTTGAGCCTGATAACTTGCACGCTTGAACTTGTTTTGGCGAAACGAAAAACAAATTCCCTCTCGAGTTTTCTTTTGTTCCTTTGTTTTTATCCTTTTTTCTTTTGTCTAGGTCCGCTCTTCTCTGCCATGTCTTTTTCGTCTGCTGTGTCCTCCTATCACACTGTTCCCCCTCTTGTTTTCCTCTCTGGTCTTTTCTTTTTCATGCTTTAGTATTTATTATTTATTTCTTTTTCTTTTTCGTTTCTTTTCTTTCCTGTCTTCTATTATCATATCTGGATTCATTCTTCTGTTTCTCTTTTTAATTTTGTGTCAATAAATATCCATTGTGCCTCTGTTTTTATTAGTTAGCTTCTAGTTTCTTCACTACTTTTTTTCTTGCACGTTTTCGTTAAAATTCATTACTTTTATTTTCCTTTGTGAATGCTATTATATGTTCTACTGTTTCTCTTTTCATTTTCACATTCATCTGAATATCTGGATAAATCAAACAAAGGTCTTTTTTCTGCATGGTTCTTTCTTTATTTTTCTTCTGTCAAATTGCTAACATCTTGTGGGGTTTTCATTTCTCTCATACAACACCTTTAAACCTCAAGTTATTTAAACCCGGTCAATAAATTGACTCGCCGTACTTTTTTTTCTCACTCTCTCCTCTCTCTCCCTCCCTCTCTCTCTCTCTTATATTGATTGAATTGAAAATCACTTTTACTCTTTCCGGCATGTGATCTACCTATATATATTTTTCCTTTGTAACTCCTGACATACGCGCGCGCGTGTCTTTTTAAACAGGTTCTTTCTTTCTTTTTTCTCATGGTTGTCTTCTTTAAATATTGAGTAATATAGCTATGGACATGCTTTTTTCCGCTCTCTTTTTTTCCCCGCATACTGTTATTAGTATTATTATTAGCTATTATTTTTATCCATGTTTAACTAAACTCCCTGTCATTCATATTTTAAAATAGGCTCTTCTTTTTCTCCCTTCATTTTTATTTTTTACTTGTTAGTTTTTACTTGTATAGTTTATTTATATTTATACTTGGCTACTTGAGATCATTAATCATCTCATATGTCCGATGGCAGGGTGTTGGTTATAGCTTCCAAGGTTATATTCATCTGTCACTTGTTGCAGTACAGAATACATATTTGTATTCATTCTTGAAAGACAATTGATTATTATAGCTCTGTTAGTTTTGCATTTGTATCTATTTCTCATTTTTTTCCATAACTACGGGAAGTTGAGCCGTATTAACAAGAGGCTTTTTTTTATACATGTCGCGCTGATTTTGCTTTTAGTGTGCCAAATGGTAAGCTCTATCTAGCTGCTATCTAGCTGTGAGTTATCTCTTTTGAACATTTGAGACCAATTTTTTTTATATATATTTTCTTTTAGTTTTTTCCTTTCAAAAATGGATATTCATTTAGACATGCATATGGTTAGAAAATATGGCTGGACGTTAGAAGTCCCGTGTGATATATGATTATGAGCTTCAGCACGACAGAGCCATTTTTTGGCTCTATATCTCTCTCCTTTATGGGTTTGCCTTCAGATATAGTCAACTGTCCTGAGGTCGAATGCTCCCATGCGGCAGAACAAGAACACATCAAGGGAGCAAGCAGCTACCAATGTCACTCCTACCACCCATCATCACCGCTTTTCGAATCAGATATCGACTGCCCAGCACGACGCAAAGGATAATACTAACCCAAGCAATAACAATACATTTCGCAACGAACGCAGCGCAGCATGAGGGACAGACAGCTGTGTTGTACTGGACAGAACGAAGCCTTCCTGGCCAATCGGACCTCCGCCGTCTACGTATCCAATGAAGCGCCAAGATGCGATACAACTACTGCAGGAATGCAGATACACATTCTCCTCTGCTCGTCCGCTTCCGCTTCCGCTTTCCCCCCCTCTCCTAGTCACAATCACGGCGGCATTTCGAGCAGGCAGGTCGATGCGGGCTACCAGAATATGGCCTCAAGCTAACTAACTGCCAAGGCAACTGAATGTGTGTACCCGCGACGCACTGCCTATCTATAGGCTATGGGTGAACGTTGAGTGTACTCCGTTCTCTTCGCAAGAACAAAGAATCGAAGGGTGATGTTTCAGCAGGAGGGATTATTGAATCGATAGCGGAACGGGGCAACGAGGGAGGACGGGACGGGGGGAGGACAGGCACAACACAACAGCACGTCTGGCGTGAGTGAACTTGTACTCCATAGTAGGAGGGGGATTCTTTATGCGTTACAGAAGTTACAGTTTTGTGTCCCAGAAACGCCAAAGCCAAGGGAGCTCGAAGTCCAAGTGCGTCACTCACTCGACAACAACAATAATGCGGAAATACGGAGTACACAATCATGCTCCGTCCAGACCTAACTAGGCGCAATTGAAACAGCTAGCCCTTCTTTTTATTATTTTTTCCTCATCTTGTGATACATCTTCCATGCCAACGATTGCGTGGCTGTCCCTAGGTCCCCTTCTAGCCATCTATTTTTATCTAGAACTTTGCTGGTTTGACTTCGGAGAAGGATCTGATAAATAAGACAGCAGCAACTCATGGGATCACACAGCTCAAGGCTAGCCCCATCCCCGCAGCCTACAATGAAGTCCAGAGTTACCCATTTTGGCCATTTTGGCCCCCCGCGTCCTGCTTCTCGCCCCTGAACCCGCTGCCACGCACAAATCAGCTTCAATAAAATGCGCTGCTGTTCGGGCATGGAAAGCGAGCTGCAGCTGTGTTATTTTCGCACACAGAGGCCGGAGCCAGACACATACTGTGTAGAAGCCGTCCAAGCTGGAATTGTGCTGCAGGCTCGCATGGTGATTAGCTCCTCGGCTGATCCGTTCATTCAAGTTCAATTCTGCTCAGGCCGGCATCTTATTCATGTTTGGCATAGCAAGCTTTGAAAGGGGAAGAAATGGTAGGATTAAAATGTAAATTGAAAGAAAATAAAACCAAATAAATAAAAACTAAATAAAAAATTCTCCACGAATGGATGCTCTCCAACCTGTGGGGGCATGATGGAGCAAGTAAGAAAAATACCCCGGCTATGCGTAGTTACCAGAGAAAAATGGCGAAATAACCAGGCTCCCATTTGCCAAAAAGAAAAAGAAAAAGAAAAAAAAGATTAAGAAAAGGAAGAAACTGGCTCGGAAGTTTGTCCCATCACCGCATAGGTGGGGCATATCACCCGCGGTGCAAGGTTTTCCTTAGTTCTTCCCCCTTCGCCCAAAGACCAATCAATAGGCCGATAGGCAATTTGGCAGTGCGCGGCGGGGTTATTCTGTTGGCCGAAGTAATAATATTTCGGCGTAGTTTGTATTTCTTTCGATTTGAAAATTTCTTTTCGTTAACCGGCTTCACTATTGATTATTGGGGAAATTTTTGGTCGTTGAATTACGGTTCTAACGTTGAATATCTGAATGTAGATCTTGTTTGCTTCTTGACCGTCTGGGCGATTCTTGGCAGATCTGGGGGAAGCGGGACGAATTATGCTGAGACCAACGTCCCAGGTAAGAATATTAAAGACAAACAGTTTGGCACGCATTAATTAGTAAATGAATGTGATTTCATGCCTCCTACATAGACTAAAGGAAGCAGAAAGAAAACAGAAGTAAAACGAAAGAAGATGGATGAGGGGCAGTCATCTCCTTATTTTGATTTCTTGAATTGTAGAGCTATAATATTCTGAGTCGCCTGGAAATATCAGAACTCAGAGGTGGTCCCACTGTCAACGAAAAATTTGCCAGGCTTCACCCCTCCAGCTCAAGAGTAACGACAGAAGAGTGAACATGAATTAAAGGAAATAGGAAAAAGGGAAAAAAGGAAAAAAGATATAGAGAGAAGCCAAGGTGACCATCAGCGGTGAGCTCTTCATCCATTTGGCTGTTACAAGAGGCAAGTCAAACGTCTCTTCCAGTACGTTGTCGAGAACAGAGTCCAAGGCATAGGAGAGAAAACACGGTCCACGAGAGAAAACACGGTCCACGATGGAATATCTAAGCTGAATGACGCTCGAGGTGAAGGCGTTTTAAACTCCTAACCTGAGAAAGCCGCTTCTGATGTCAGTCGATGCGGTCGAGCTGGCACTCGGGGAACGGGTTATTTTTTGTGGTACGGGGGTGGCCGAGATTTCATTGGCAAACGAGGGAATTTGAGGGCTGAGGGGAGTAGGCGTTGTCGAATTCACTCCCCGGGATTGTGCCATAGGTGATTCCTCTTGTGGGACGAGGATGAGGAATTTCTGGGTTTCGGTGTAGGAATACATGATGAGAGGAGATTTTGTGTTTCTGCGAGGTATGGTAGTAGACTTGAAGCAAAGGGTAAGTGTTTTCGTGCTGTTTGGAGGGTTAATTCGGAGGAGCGTTGGTATCAAGGACGCCGTGGTAGGAATGTTATATAGTAAAGGATCAAGGTATCAAGATTATAGAAGTACCTTGGAGGACGGCTCAAATATAAGAGTTTTTCCTTTCTTTTTTTTTAAAAAAAAAAGAGATGGATTTGGAATGGATTCCACGTAGACACCCTTTTGAACCTGATGAGAAGGATTTATAAAACATGATCAAGGGGGTTTCGTTTTGCGGGAGCCAGAGGGGCCTTATATAGGTAGGTACCCCTGGAGACAACCCGAGATTCCATACTCCGTGAAGAGCGGGATATTAGGCAGGATCCGCAGGGACTGGGGCCCCTCATCTTCGTCCCTCTACCCTACCGCCGACGTAACACGTGCCGTGGAGCTAAAAAAAGCCGTAACGGCGAGTATCGGGGCTGACTCGAGAAGGTTCCTGTAAGTTTTTCTGTTCTTGTCCTTCCCAGTTGGATTAAATAATATATAACTATACTGATACGTTGGAGTTTGCTTGACCCACGAGAACTAATAATGACGCACCAGGCCGTGTACAACCGAACCAGGTGACGACATGTGCCAAGGGTCCACCAAGGTTGCCAGAGTTGGTGAACCTCGGATGCTCAACCCTGAAATGCTAAGTTTGAGACTTGACAGCAGAAGCTGATATCGAAGACGAGTTATTATACTATGTAGCGTAAGCACAAGAAGGAACACGCCCCTTCTGACAACCATTGGTCTCCAAGGTGGTTTCGTGGCGGTAGAGGCAAACATGCCTGGCTGGCGATCCGTCAGGAGGGACAGAGGGTCTTTTGGTTCGAATTCCCCCCCGATTTTGGCTGCAGTCAGAGTCTGGCGTCCTTTGTATGTACATTACTACATGTACGGCTCTTAAGAAGGGATGTTCTGTTGCGCAATTCCTATTTACCGGGCCTGAACCCCGAATTCAGCGCGCAAGCAGTAGGGGCGATTGGACTTGCTGATGCATCGTCAAGAGATTGATAATCGCGATTTGAGGCGCAAGACTATTGTTCGGCAATTGCAGATGCCGACTAGACAGGCACTGATCGACAGCGGATATGAGAGTTGTTGTGCAGGACATTATTGTTGCTTGCTTCTGGCGAGTTGGTGGAAGCGAAGAATCAGACTATTATTTAATAGTTATCGATGTGGGGGCGATGGACGAATCACCTGATTCCCGTTTCTGACAATTTCAGCCTCAGGCAACAGTTTATCTCGACGACAACGTCTGCGGTCTGGTCTGGCATTGTTCAACATATCATTACGCTAAGTTGACACGGTTGACACTGTTGACACTGTTGCTTTGACATCTACTCCGTAACTTTCTATAGCTTTGTGCGTCTTGCAGAGATCTACTTTTTTGAAGGGCCCTTCATACGTTTTGAAAGCGACACCCTATGTCCACTTACACTGCCCTTCCCGCCAGCCCACTGCGGCCTTATTTACGACATACAGCTTGTGGCGTCGATTTCCCGTGCTCACCCATAGGATATTCTTGGTAAGAGAGCAGAAGGTGATGTCAAAAACGATCAAAGGAATATGGGGATTCGGTTTACTTTTGTCAACCAACTGTCTTGTGATTTCTTAGGCTAGACTGATGACAAGCACCTTTCGAAATTTACTTTCACGACCCTAGCTAACAAATAGAAGAATTCTCTGTTCTTTTGCCATGCCATACCTTTTGTTTACGGGCACAGCATTGGAAGTTTCTTCTCATTCCCCAGCAAATTGTTTTGTTTTCGAAGCGCCGCCACCTACGGCGGTAGAATGTCCAATCCAACCCGGGTTGGGGGCCAAGCAGCAAACTATTTATTCGACCCCATAGCCTCGTCATACACACTACGAAAAAAGGCACAGGCTACAGCCAGCTTCTGAGCTGCAGCGGATCATCAAAAGAGGTGTAAGGCTTCAGAAAATCCTGATCTTCGTTGGCCTGGTCCTTGGCGAAGGGTGAAACGATATTTTGACAGGCGCCTGTTCCTGAATGGCCTGCGCCTAGCAATCTTTATGGCCCAACCCCACCACAAGGAATTTGAGTGTTTGCGGCCCTTAACCTCCACAATTTATCATCTTTACTATTTCATTCGTCGTTGGTGGCACAGGAGCTAATCATCGTATCTCGGTTCTTCTACCATTCTGAATTGCTCCCACTCTAATCCTCGCCTCTAAAGTTGCAGGTTAGGGTGTCAGATCGATTCACAAAGTGCTGTCCTGATTTTGCCTGGCGTAGCCGCCTCTGCATCCTTTCATTTCAAAGGAGCTAGCGAGCTATGGCCCACGGCCGAGTTCTCTGCAACTGAATCACACTCGTCTTAAGCATCTTTTTTTGAATAATGTCGATTGCTTGTTGTTGGTCTGCGGGGGAGGGACTCTGAAGCCACCAAACTGCTACCAATTGGGAGAATACGATGACCATGAACAACGGCCGGTGCCCAATTTAGGATATGCTGAAGCAGCATACACCCCATGCTTCGGGAATCCTCGAAATGACGGGTATAGTCAAAGACGAGCACGTTTCTTCTCACTAGTGCAATGTTTCACAGATAGCCATACTATCTGAGATTTTGACATTGCGAGCAATGTACTTCATATCTACAAGTTATGTCGCTTTCTTGATGTCCAATGAAAGACTCTTTCTTGGCCGACAATTCAAATAACTTTATTTGCCCTCACTGGCCAAATGGCTCTCATCTTCCAAGGCCCTTGTGGCCCACCGCGACCACCGCGGATGTGCCAATTTTCGCTGTGGCACCATTTCCGGATGCAGTGGTAGTGCGGCCTTTCTATTGGGCGAAAAAAAAATCCTCAGTTTTTCTTTTATGCCCTGAAGCTTAAGAGACCTTTGATAGGTGCTGCCGTTTATGTGCGACTTGTGTGTGTCTTGCAAGTTGCTCCGAGTTAGTCTAAAACAATCTCTATCCCTGCAGAACGTTACTTCAGCTGTGCCGTTGTTCATACTTGGAAATCTCGAACTTCACCACCAACAATTCTACAGTTATTTCGTACCTAAAATCTTCGTTTGTCCTGGAATCCCAGCAGGGAGTGCATGCCACCAGTCTTTCTGAGAAGGAGTGTTAGCTTACGCTCTTTACCCTGCGATATCCTATTCCAGACTTTGGTACCTGTTGGACTTTTGAACTGCACAGGTCAGCATCATGCTTGTCAGAGCGGAATCCAAAAAGGGTCTTAAAGTAAGGAGATTCCTACATATTTAAACACCACTTGACCCGCGACTTCTTAAGTTTTTTTTAAAAAAAACATCCATCACCCTATCCATTTCCTTACCTAGAGTATACGCAAGACCATCCTGGATATCACCATCAAACTCTCGAACCTACGATCAAACAGATCAAACATATCTCAGCAGCCATGTGCACTTGCACTCAATGGTGGTACGAGTACACGTGCGGGTGCGTATTGCGCGTTGGCGTGGTAGTGTGCCCAGAGTGTAAAGCAAAAGAAGGGACGGCCAAGGAAGGCGAAGGACAGAAGTTGATCGACAAAACAAGAAAAGCACCTGGGAAATGCGAAGATCACGGCGGCTCCCCAAGGTAACCTACTACCGCCCCTTCCCCTAGACTTGTCCGGAAACAAAAGGCCATTTGATTGATAAAATTAAAAATTTAGCACATTAAAGCTCTAAGCATCAAAACTTGCCTCGGCGCTATCTACTCCGGGCCTTTATGCTTCGAATTTTCGGTCTTTCCATGATGCTTTCCCTTATCGATCGGTTATCAACTTTTGGCATTGAGATTCTACGAACGTGGAGCCCGAATCGGCTGTAGGATTCCAGACATAGATGTTCCTAATGGCTTTTTCCAAGTCCCCCGTCCCGTGCAAGCCCGCCTTCCGTCCAGTCTTTCTAGCAACATGTATTCACGAATCTTAGGAGTGAAATATTCTTTTCGAGATTTAGGAACATCCACTGCAGATTAACATCCTTCGAATACCCTCAGTTTCTGCATGACATGAAATCTCCTTGCTTGCTCTGCCTCTCCGCTTCACCTGGCAAACTAGGGCGCAATCATATTTTCCTTTTCACTGCGTAATATCCCAATCCCTGTTTCCCCAGTGTGTAACTCCTGTTCCCTACTTTTGTACCTTACTTTTGTATCGGTGCCTTACCACTTATATTTCGGGACATTGTTGCTATTCAAGACTGAAAATACCCCCAACTTGGTAACTTGTGCATGTATGTACTTCTCTGGGGACGTATTACTCGTTCAAAGATATAATCAAGTCGTCTTCAGCTCTCTATCTAACTACTAGTACTGTACACAAGTACCGTAGATTCACATTTGGTATTAAGCGCTTCCCTTGTTCCAAGACAAGCCAATATGGTAAAGTAAGGAGCTTCAAACAACGATCATTTAAATTGCAACGTTTCCTCCCTTGTACACGCCGTTTTTGTGACACTGGGTACCCTGGACGATTGGGCTTCGATCACGCCTCCTCAACGCCTTCTCAAAGCCCAAATCAACATTGTATTTTGCACTCGCCGATAGATGTGCATGCACAGTACATGTACAGTACATGTAAATATGCAACATTTATTTGAGTCTCAAATGTGGTGATATTCCCAAGCCCCTTGGCTTGCGTGATACAGATAAACGAGACACACACCGCTACTACATCCACCTCCTTTCGCGCTTTCTCACCACTGACGACGAGAAGAATGTAGTCAAAATCTCAAGAGCGGCACGGCCCGTCGTCGGTTTTGAAAGCGGTAGTTCGCATTGAAATATAACGAAGCTTCTGCACAGAATTCGGCGGGGTTGTTGATGTGGCGTAGAGATCATATCCCGAGGTCGTTGGTGTGTTCGAGTATAATATGTATGTAATGTATGTAATGTACATGTACATTACATGTACGGAGTAGATTGCTACAAATTTACATTGATAGATATTAATTATGGCCAATGTCAGTGTAGATAGGCCCGTTAGCTATTACGGACTCAATCAGCCCGCCACGGGTCAGAATATAAAGTTTGCGGCAATTCAACTCACCACAGAGTCTCGGCCGGCGGTCGGCCTCCGGTCGGTGGCCTGTTAAGTGGCCTGCACGTAGATCTTGCGGCACAGCTATGTTTAGTAGCAACTTCAACGAATATACGCCGCCGTAGGATGTTGGGTTTTAGATATTTCATGAAATCTCATGAAGCGACCTCTGAGAGGCCACAATCTTCAAAGGGATTTCGAACCGCTTATTTTGTCTTGTTTTAGTTAATTTTAGCCTGTATTTCCTCTCTCTCCCTCCGTGAATTCTGTTTTCCTCTCCCTGCTGCCCAACATCCAGCACAAAAAAAAGCAAAGACATGTGAGAATATAAGCTGGGAGCTTCGTGTTGAATCGCTTGGCGGTTATTCTATTTCATGTCCGGATGTGGTCGCATATCAATCAGCCTTCTGTACTCTGTAGTTCCGTCCAGTCCGTTAGCTAATTCATTGGCTGGAACGGCAATTGCTAAACCAGAAGCATTCTCAGTGAGAGGAATACCCTGCTATGGACCATGTGGGCAGAGACGTAGGAGGAAAATAAGGTTATTTCGCAGTAAGTGATGCATCAGAGCTTGCAGAGAAACGCCGGATAGGGCAAGATATCAATGATCGTCGCCATCTTGACAGTGTATATCTGCGCGATTTCACGCCTGCCAGCTCGTATTCATGACATTCATGACAGCTCCGGAAATGGTTCCCGAATGTGGTTATACCCTCTCCGGGCTGAGGAGAACCTGGGAATTTTCTAGTTTTAATGCAGCTATAATTAAAGGCGGCATTCAAGATTGAACCCTTGTTGAATCTAGATACTCAATTTAGGTAATACATGATAGGAGGTACAGCTTCCCTGTTTTGAGCATAAGGTTCTCACAAAAACTCAAATACCCCGTTTGCGCTGGGGTAGAGAAACAGACAGGTGTAGAGTATCTTCAATCCGGATATGATGACATGTTGCGCTCACAACGCTAGCTTGATACTTCTTGCCAAATCCCCCCCAATAGAGGTATACTTTTCTCTAAGTTTCCACTGTTTTTCTCAGCAATATCAATGCAAGGTGTTATGTGGAATATTCAGGTCTCCTCCTGAATCCTCAAAGACACACGTCCTAATCTGCCGATCGTGTGAAATAAGATAAATTATAACAAAAGACGTTTGAAACAGAGCGATATGCAGGTGGTAACAGAATTGCGGCAAATGATGAATATGTGGGTTCTATTGAAGGTAAAAAAAAAAAAAAAAAAAAAAAAAAATCAATGACAAGATAAATTCGGGCGAAAGAAGGGTTGGTTGTAGAAGCAGGATGCAATAAGCGCTGAGCGAGGAGTAGTTTGAATTCCACGATCCACATGGCAGTCTCTAACCCAACGATATCTTTGGAGAGCACCGCGTCCAGTCGCTCAAATTCAGTTCGAGGCTGTTTTGGCAGGCCGGATGCTTTGGTCGACGGGCGGTCAACCAACGACACCTGCATCAAAACCAGCATAGAAAGTAAGTCACGTGAGTATAGTAGGATCCAGTTACAAGCTCTGTCTCAAAGACTCAGCTTGGGGAGACCACAGGGGGATAAGCACAAAAGCAATATTGCTTCACAGGTGTGTTTAGTAAATGCCTGATAGATGGCCCTTCCTTAGTTTACTCCGCGAACTGGTTCAGAAGCCGATTTGAGCAGGGGAGATAAATATCTTTGCCGCCCGGCCCGATTGATTGTTGAATGGCCGGTTCTGGTGAGAATTAGAAGGAGACCCACCTGCCTTAGTCATTACTGACAATGCCCCACGGACTCCGTACAGTACATACATAGATGATAGTTAAGCGGCTCAGATATAAATCTTCGGCGTTAACTCAAATGTGATCTTCTCCGCCAGTTGGTGATACAGATGCATGGTGGGATAGTGAACTTTTAGCAACCATAATGTAAGCCGTTCTGTGGATAGCCACCATAGTTAGCTCACCAGCGCCAGTGTTCCAGCCTGCGTGATTCAACATTCAACAGAGGATCACCAGAGTGTGCAAATGATGCAAGTTTAAGATCTCACTGAGCTGCGCATCCAGTCGCTAAATCGTTTGGGCATCTGCAAGCCAAGCGAGTGAAAAAATTCTCCGATGCGATGATGCCCGTGTCAATGTGTCTTCCAAACCCGCCCACTCAGAGCGGCCACTCCGACGGCCCACGATAGAGCTCTTCTCGTTGATGCATGCAACGCCTGTGAAGACGTGGAGCGATCGCCCACAATCGAAAAAGGGAAATTTGGGCCGAACCGGAAGGCAATCGTGAGAATCATGGCGTCATAAGAGCTAACGACGATTGTCCAAAAGATCAATTGTCGAAACTGATTTATGATACATCAGAATCCTAATTTTGAAGTCAAGGCTGACGTTGCGCGATCAAAAATGGTATGTGCTAGCGGCAGGCACCCCCACTGGGCCACTGGCTTAGTAAAGATGCGGCGAATGTGCTGGGTAGCTCCAGGCCCAGTTGTTGAACGGTCAAGCTACATGCCAACTTTTGCCGTGCATACCTTGAGGCTCGAGGGTAAACAAAAAAGCTCAGAGCCGGGTTTCAAATCCCACGGAGTACTTCCAGCCGTGAAGCCTTCTTATTAACAGTGGCGTCATGCCCAGACCGAAAATCTTGGTGCTCGTACTATGTAGTTTCGAGGTTCTTTTTGCTCGATGCATTCGGAATCCTCAGAGGTGGTGCCCTGGGCATATTTCTCGTCTGCCCAACTGTAGACATTCAGAGCAAAGAAATGCGGTCGGGCCTCAGCCTTAACAGCTTGGGTTGGCGGCATTCCCGAACATTCCGTTCAATCGACATCGTCCTAACAGAATGAAGGTGGTTCTCAGGCCGTCTGGTTCAAGAACGCAGAAGCCCAGGAGGAAAATGGACTTGATGTCAGATCCTTGGATGACTCAGCATATATTTGCACGTGATAACTAGTTAGTTATGACGACATGGTCCAAACCTCGTCAAATTGTTGGGCGCAGTTCAAAGCAAAAAGAAATTCAGAACCTATCGATGCTTCGCACCTGCGTGTCCGGCAATCCGTACGAGCATGCACGGTGACCCTGACATTGTCAGAACTTTCCGTATGGACAGATTTAGGTGATGTCCATAGATATTGACTGGGAGCGTGCCACCTCTGGCCCAGACGGCGAGCTTCTGGCGGAGCGCATCCGCTCATTCATACATGATAAATTCCAACAGATAGTTCTTCCCAGATTCATCCGCTCAGTGCAAGTTACTTCCTTCAATTTCGGTACGATACCCCCAGAGCTTGAAATCCGCGATCTCTGCGACCCATTCCCGGATTTCTACGAGGAGGATGACAACGAAAATTTCTCAGAGAGCTCGGAGGAGCAGTCTCCAACGCGGGAACCGGTTGATAGATATGGGAGCAAGGTAGAGTCCTGGCAGGCAAATTCTCCAGGCAGCCTTGAAGACCACATGCAAGGCAGGATGGGCTTCAACGGACCGTTACGAATGCCCCCGGGAGAGGAAAATACCGGGATCTCCCCGCTTCGGTCCCCCATGAATTTCGGAGATATAAACCCGTACCTATTTCCGAGATCTAGAACACCAGGTATACCAGGGGGCACCTCGAACTTAGGATACTACATGCCGCTGAGTGGACTTTCGGGCTCACAGACGCCGCTTGGTACTGTGGCGCGCGGCAGCCCTTTCTCTGGCGGATGGCCGGATGTGCATGGAGCAAGACCGTCTCGCCGCAGATCAGAAGTCGAACCTGACTCCGCCCAATCTCGACCGTCCACTGCGAATACTGGGAACACACTGCTTTCCCGCGGCTCAATGAGCAGCGGTGATCCGCGCCACTCCCATCATTCACAAGGAGTGCCAGGCAGTGATCATGGGCAAGTGCTTGAACCCAACATGCCACCGACATCGTCCGATGCTCCGCTTGACGATCTCCCCCCTCGACGAATGCGCGAACAAAAAGCCGAGGATTTCCAAGTCTTTTGTCGGACGAAATACGCAGGCAATATCAGTCTTTCGTTAACCGCAGAGATACTCCTTGACTACCCAATGCCCAGCTTCGTCGGCCTACCCTTAAAACTGAACATTACAGGCCTCACCTTCGACGCCGTAGCAGTCATTGCGTATATTCGACGACGAATACACTTCTGCTTTCTCTCCCCGGAGGATGCAGACGCGTTAATCGGACCGGAAATCGGCAGTGGTGGCGGAGAGGACACGTTGGAACCAAACTCTCCACGGCGTAAACCTCTTAGCCTGCTGCGTGAGATCAGAGTGGAAAGCGAAATTGGCAGAAAGGAGAATGGGAAGCAGGCGCTCAAGAATGTGGGCAAAGTAGAGAAGTTTGTGCTTGAGCAGGTGCGCCGGATTTTCGAGGAGGAATTTGTATACCCGAGTTTCTGGACTTTTCTTGTTTAAGGCTTCTTTCTACCTTTGCACTGCGATGACTGTTCGATGACGGATTGATATTATATACCACATTTTATGCGCTCCCCAATTCAAACTTGTTTCCCAGATTTGCACCAGGAACGCATTGAAGGTGTATTATTAACTAATTACGAGTTTCAAATGGTAAGCTGGGGCAGGTATTGATGGAATGGAATAGTAACTCCAGGTCAAGAAAATAAGAACTGTGATTTGTGCGAAGAAATATTCTTAATGATATCTCCGCCATGGGATCCTATTACACGCCTCCATAAGTATAAAGAGGGACGATAAACATCCAATCGCTGCATATACATATTTCAAAAATTAAAAGTGGAAACTACCCAAATCCACACTCCCGTTTCTATTCGGAACCTTTGCACATTTCACTACCATTACCAAGTTCACGAAACGCACACACTAGGATGACCTAGGCATTATAGTCCGTCGGGAAAACATCAGCCTCTCTGAAACCAATTCATATCACCCACCCACTTTTCCATCACGTTGGTGGGATTTCGATATCTTTTTCTTTTCCAAGAGCCGCCAACAAATGGCAAAAGCCACCTAACCTCCCACTGCCATTTACCGCTCCTTTTTGGGCGTTGAATCAAGGTTCTGGCTTGAGAGCTGATCGCCCAACTTTTCATATTCCCTCGACAAGCCCTCAGACTGTTTCTTCAGCGCTTCAATATCCTTCTCACGAGCCGCAAGTTCTTTGCGCAGACGGCCAATTTCACCAGCATCGCCGGCCTCTGCCAATTTGGCCGATGCCTTGCCGCCAGCCTGTTTGTCGCCTTGCAGTTGTTTCACTTTGTCCTCCAGACGCAGCACTTCAAGGATCATTGTGTAGGTGCGATTGAGGATTAGGGAAAGGAAGAGGGTAAAGCCGCAGAGATACATGTTGCGCTGAGAGTAGAATTTGCGGGCTTGGACCTCCATCCGTTCGGCGCCTAGGGCGGCAGTTCTGCGCCTTGCGGAGAAAAGAGTGGTGTTTAGTCAGGAGATTTTTGGTTGGGGAGATCTGGGTTAGTGGGAAAGGGTGTGGGTTTGAAGGACGATATATTGACATACCCGGCTCCGCCCATTTCCTTTGAGTGTGTGGATAGCTCGGTTTGAACGCGGTAGACCCGATTAACGCTATCGATGAATAGGATAAGGATGAAGATAAACGTAATCTTGTGAAGCACCAAGTATGTCAGCGCCTTATACTCTCGTTGAGGTGAAGAATTGGCAGCGGATATATATAAAGACCTACTTTCATGCCATACTGGAGCTTCGCAATAACTGGGCTTTCAGATATGAAGGTGAAGAGTTTCCTTTTTACGGTGAAAGGAAGAGGGATGATGAGGCCAACAAAGATGACCATCTCCACCACCAGGAGAAGGAAAACCTATAGCAGAGAACCAAATATTCTTATTAGCACTCGTTTGCAACATAATAACTTCCCAGATCTTGCGTGAGCACTCCTGAGGATAGCGGATGGGATGCGCTCCCCAAATAGGTCGATCGCGTCGAGCAAATACGTACAAGACTATAATAGAGCGTCATCGTTGCGGTTCCTTCAATGGGTAGTACACAGTTTTGCCTTGAACAGCCAGAGCTCGCTTTACGGGCAAGCTGTTGTTTTCTGTTGTTTTCTTTTTCGGTTGTCGTTAGCTTGTTTCACCAAAACACGATGAGCGGAGGAGGAAACGGGGTAAAGACAGAACTGCTTCTTACAGAAGGACTCAAAGTCCCGAGATAGAACGAGGGATAAGGTTCCTTTTATCTGTGTCTGTTGTTAGTGGCTGGTGAGTAGGGTGGAATGGTTGCAGTTGGAGTTTTTTGGCCGCAAAACAAGCTTGGAGGGAAAACAGACGTCATCGTGGTTGGTTGTTGTTGACACTGGATTTGGCGGCTCCATGTGACTTTCGCTTGCCCTATTTTGGTGCTGTATCGATTCTGGCAAACAGGCAGCCAGGTTATAAAAAGTGAATGGATATGCCATAATTGGTTGGATTCTATTTTTATTGTATTTTAATGAAGGGAGACGTAGCCAGAACTTTTTATTTACGAAGTATTCCGTCTCGAAAATATGCAATTGTATATATTGTTATGGGCTTTCCAATGCCCGTATGATGCTGGCTCTATTACAATAACTCCAAGGCGAGTAGCTTTCTCTTACTGCTAATCAACCCTCCGCAACAATCTCGTAGCTATTCGACTTATGCTTTGGCTCGAATTTGAAATCTTTATGAGCTGGACCCAAGAACATTTCTCTGTAAAATGGCACATACAATTAGCAAAATACCACTTCCGAAAAAAATAAAAAATAAATAAATAAAAAATAGCAGCACTTACGAAATCTTAATCCAATCCTTATAATTATCACTTCCAAGAAGAGTTTCCAACTCATTGCGACCTTTCCAGGCGGGCGGGCGGTCCTGGATGCTCGGGGGAAGGTACTCCAGTAGGCCCACGGGTATATATCGATGCGTGAAACTTAGATATTCAAGCAAGAAGCGGCGCGTGTTTCCAATGCCGTATTCATCAGACCCCCACGCCTCAAGGCCATACTTTGCAAACTTCTCCACGAGCGCGAGCCTCTCAGTCGCAGACTTGTCAAGATATTGGCCCTTTTCGACTTCCTCGAAAATCCACGGCTTCATCAGCGCGCCACGGGCCACCATGACAGTGTCGACGCCCGACTTTTGAATCCCGTTGAAGTAGTCTTCGTGGGAGTAACAGTCGCCGTTCCCGAGGAAGAACACTTTACCCGCAGCGGGCTGGTATCGTGCATCTGGCTCCTTGATGGTATCGATTGCGATATCGGTTTGTTCGTTGAGTCGTTTAACCAACGCGGCACACTGGGAGATATACTCCCAGTCCGCCTGGCGCGAGTATCGCTGCTGACGACTACGGCCATGCAATGTGATCGCGGCAACGCCAGCAGGGCCCTGGCCAATTTCATGAGACTCGACACCGCCACAAATTAACCTCTCGACTAGTTTTGTAGCCGTAGGGTTTGAATCTTTGGTCCCCATTCGGATCTTCGCAGTGATGGGGATCTCTCCAGACACAGCGTTCATTCCGCGCAGCATCTTTTCCAGTTTCGAGGCATGGTCGAGTAGCGCAGAGCCTGAACCTTCTCTGAAAACCATGTCAATCGGGCATCCACAGTTCATATCGATGACACGTAGGTGCGGGCATAGCGCGGTTAAGGCTTCAGTGGCTCTTAGCGCAACCCACGGTTTGTTCCCCGTAATCTGAACGCCGAATTTCAGATCACGAGAATTGTCATAGTCTTTCACGATGGTCTGCTGTGGGTTGACTGTTGGAGGCAATATCTCTGACTCATGCGCCTTCATAAGCGCCCACTCAGACTTCGAGCCTTGCACCAGGCTCATGCTCATGGCCATTTCCGAATAGGTGAGCTGTGCGCCAAGATCAACACAGAGACGTCTGAAGGGTAAATTGCCTTGCGTTGTGAGCGGAGCCAGGACAGGGGTCTCCGGGCCAAAGTAGACTCGTCTTTTTTCAGATGGTAGGAAGGGAGGTTCTGTATATTGCGCTCTGTTATCTTCCTTTTCATCCTTGATATCAAAAGCTCCCTGAACATCAGTCTTGTCGGGGACAGAGGCAGTGTCGTCCTGGTTTCGCCCATGGAGGTTTTTCTCGACTTCTCTGGAGACCGTGTCGATCCAAGTTGTGTAGGAATCGGCTTTGGGAGTTTTGTATCTCTTCTTCGCCAAGGCAAGCTTATCCTCTGTCGAAACAACGTTAACCGCTCCATCGATTCCAATTCCGTTCTCTGACGTCGGGTTTTTCATGCGAGACGCATCTTCAACCAACACTAACTCTTTCCTCCCATCCTCCGTCTCCCGCTCAGCCATATGTGACCCCACAAATCGGCACTTCCAACCAGCAGGACATCTTCCTTTGGCTCCCCAGACGGGGCAAACACCGCCAAAAGTATCCAAGTCGGCTCTCTTGTAGTCTTTCAGGTATTTGCGGATGTCGTGTTCGAATTTGCAGGACTTGCCCCAGGGACATGGCTTCGGAGAGAATTCAGAATGATAGGCAACGGTTTGGCAAAGTTGCTTCGCGTCCTGAGAGCGCCCGAATGTACGTTTGGTATTCTGTCCACCTTTCTTCTCACGTTTCCCTCCTTTTTGCCTGCCACTGTTGCCCTCTTGCTCGTGATGCTTGGCGGCTTCCGCAGCATCATCATCCGGGATAGCCCTCGGGGAAGCTTGGGCCGCACCTGGAGAAACCTCGATGAGGTACCTTTTCAAAATATTTGTTAGCAGTAATAACTGGTATGCCGTAGAGATGACGGGATAAAATGCAATCAATTCCGTTGGTTTGATTGGTAACTAGTCGTAAAAAAAAAGAAAAAAGAAACTCACTCTTTTTTAATCGGCGCAACACCTTTCTTCCTTTCAACTCCGCTCTTCGCAGCCGTCTGTGGATCAGAAACCGGTTGCCCATCTAACTTTATCCTTTTCGCCGGCGATTCTTCAAATTCTTCAACGCGGGCATGGCCGTTCGGTTTGCCAACAACTCCCCCGCTGGCGATTTCCGCCTGGTTATTCGAACCTGGATCCATTTTCCGAAGGGCTGCGTTCTGCCTGTCAACGGATTAACAGCTAGTTACTATCTGAAGAGTAGGACAGTCCAGTTGGTTCGTTTCTTCGTTTCTAATCTACAACCCCACGCTCTACTCAGCTGGGGCGATTCAAGATCTACCTCCGTGCTTGTGCCGTTGGTGGGTTGTGGTGTGTGAAAGCCGGCGAGGGAGCGGCGAAACTTTCTCCCAGCAGCCGGACGCGAGGGATTCCACGCGAAGCTGGAGGAGCATTTGCAATTTCTACAACTTACTGAATTTGAGGCCCAGGTGAAAAAGAGAATGCGTGAAGATTACACAGGGACAAGACTGGGTGCCTCTCGTACTAGAGTTCCTCTGCAAATCTACTGATAACCAATAACTACCTGGGATTGTTAAGTTTTTGTTTGTTGCTTGCTTGCTCCCAAGGCAGAAAAGGAGATCCGTGGCAAAGTTTCCACTTTTCAGCCCTTGAGTCTCTCCTCCAGTCTTTTCGCCCTTCGAATAATATCACTCAAGGCTTAAACCATATCTTGCTCTATTTGGTTTTGCATTGAGGATTCTGCAATGCCTTCTTTGCTCCGAGAGGAGAGAGTGTGTTTACACTCAAGTACTGCATAATCAAGACGCATCTCATTTGATAACAGTGCAGCAATGAGAATAACACCCTGAAGAAGTATTTTTTTTAACTCTCATACCGCAAGAATGACAGAATCCCAGAATTCCTCTATTGAATCCACAAGACCCTCAACCCGGACTGTTAAACTTCACCAGCACGTGGAGCTACTGGTCAAGTAGGCCGAAAACAGGCGAGGCATTCCCCTCACAACTAGGAGAGATGGATTGTGAGCTATATGGAGGCGAATGGTCTCGATGTTTGCCGACACCATAGAGGGCGAGGCCTAGGGCGAGGCCTGCTGCCACTGTTTGGCGTCCCGAGACACCCATTGAATTAAACCCTCAAGAGGATCGCAGCGGATGGGGGGAGGGGGGGGGGATGGATGAGGAACAGATTGAACCCTCGCGCGATGACTCTCCCGCGATAAATAAGGTCCTGCAGGTGATTTTGTTTCACTTTTGTCTTTTAGCTGGAATGACGTTTGGGGGATTCAGCAGGATGTTTACTAGGCCATAATGGTCAAAAAGAGAGAAAGATGATATATTATTACCTATCTAGGTATATGGTAGGCGCCCTCCTAGTCTGAGGTAGGATTTCCGATAGGTGCTGACAGGGCATCATCATCAGCATCCTGCATAATAATGTGAGTCCTCGGTCGGTCAACTTGGCGAGGCCATACAAAGGAGAACCGAACCCAGTGATCGAATCTGGTAGCAAGTGGCTAATCCCCGTCCATAGATCCACGCCTGCTCCCTAACTCGTTCCAGAAGGGACAGGGCTATTTTGACTTCCGGGTTTGCCACATGCTCCCTTCTTGACCGCCTGTTATATAGATATGTTTACAGATATATATATATATATATATATATATATATATATCATTTATTTAAAGCTCGCGGAACTAATATCAAGGAGGCCCGCGAAGACTATTCCTTCTCACGGGCATAAGTTACAAATAGAATTAGTGGCGAGAAGGGTTAACGAAATCACTACAGAAAATGCATGAATTCAAAAGAGGGACGTTTGTTTTGTCGGCTTATTGGAGGAAGGCTGCATTTCCCGGCGACAAAGATAGATATATAGACAGATAAACAGGGCTAGTTGCAGTGACATATCAACGGAAGATTGCATTAGGTCACTCTGCGGTGGTTCCAAGTGCCAGACAAGAGGAAGCAGTGAATAATAATAGTCGTTACAATCGTAGTAGTTATTCCCCGGTTGGGGGGTCCGTCCGTCGCGGAGATTGGCCTCCCCGCCTGAGTTCGGAATCAAAGGAAACTGTCAGCCAAGCATGGGAGGAGGGAGGAGGGAGGGGAGGGAAGAAGGAGGAAGAACAGATCGAACAAATGAGCCGGTTTCATCCTTCGTACAGCATAACCGCTAGGATGCACCGTCTGGGTGTCCGGCGCTGGCTAGCAAGTTAGCAGAGCGTTCCAACAGTCGGCGGATCCTCGGCGGGACTCGACCTAAGATCTTGAATCGGGGACGAACTGTCTGTTCTGTCTGGCTGGCTTCATCATCGCTCGCTATCCACCACTGTGGTCTCACTCTTTATTATTACAGGAGTATTAACTACAGGAGTATTATTTATTATTATTGGTATGGTATTAGTAGGTTAGGACTATCAGCGTTGAGAGGGTAACATATCTCTTTCTATCTGTCTTCGTTGTCCTGAGTGTTGCGGTAGTAGTATTTATTATTATTATTATTAAATATCTTAAATATTTACCAGATAGGTAGTTACGGAGTAACTAACCGCTCACTAATATTATTATAACTAATATTATTAAGTTATACTTCCCTCCCTCGCTGAGCCGCTCCACCTCGCCCAAAGTTACGGGGACTCCGCCTCTCGATAGCTTTCATCACCATCACCATCACCACCATCACCGCCGCCGCCGCCGCCGAACAACAACCCCAGTCCCTCTTTTCTGCCGTCGTCAACAAAGAGTTGCAGCGCAATTCCCTTCATCCCATCCTCCCCATCTCGCTATCTAATGCCCCAGTCTTCAGAACACCCCCTCCCCTCCAGTATTCTCCGTCTTCCAGCGAACTCGACCGCTCCTCCACCCGTGAAACCACTCCCATCGGAACCCCCGTTGGCTTTACTGCCATCCCAAAGTCCCGTAGTACCGCTGAGCGGGATCGAGACTTGTATTTCTCCTGGCATCGGAAGCCGGAAGAACATCCAAATACCTCTATCTACCAAACTCGCACTTCTCTAGAACCCGATCTTGACGACTCGTCTTTTCCGCTCTTATCTTCCCTTCATCCCCTCTCCCCGAGCGACGAACCATGGAGGGCCCAACTCCCCCCATTAATATCGCGTCCCGGAACACATCGGTCTCCCCGCCTGGCCAGCAGGCTTCGAATTTGACCTCTGCCCTACAACGAGCTTCAACAATAGACAAGTCTGCTGGTGCCTCGAATACCACCATTCCCACTTCCGTCGCATATAAATCAAATGCAGCCCGCAAAGACTCGATTGGCGCAAGTATGGCGCAGTGGGGAAATGGCACGAAGCCCATCACAGTGGCTGGCTCCAACAGAGATAAACAGCGCCGTGAGAGCTTAGCAGGTAGTTTGGTTGGAGGCATGAGCTGGGGAGGTGTGTCCGTTGGCAGTTGGATTCGAGATGAGTAAGTTTCTTTTTCTTCTTTTTCTTCTTTACCCTTCCTTTTCTACCAATATTGTGACTCCCATATCCCGAATTATATTATGTATAGCGAGGAGTAGCATATCCACCAATTTTCGTTAAATGGAAATTGGAGATAATTTCATGGCCCTCGGCTTTTACGTTACTGGGCAAAGAAAACCATCCATGGGCTAATATAACCGCTACAGTATTCTTATGACCGGAACGTCCCCCTTCACACTACAGTCTCCTTCATATCATTCTTCATCATATCTTCCGAAACTTGAAGCGAATTTCATGCGAGATTTTGCGTGCTGTGGCGTTACATTACCCTCCCTCCACGACTTGCTGCAACATTATGAGGAAGCTCATGCGCAGAAGTCACCACAACCACCACAACGTACCGGGCAGACGGGACAAATGTCCATTGGTGACAACCGAACCGGGATGCCGGGAGGCGTGCGAAATCAAGGGCAACAAAATCAGCAATCAAATATTGGTATTGGTGGTAATCAAAACCGAGGCATATCGTCCCCACGGCCGAATCAAAATCAGCAAACATCAAACCACATGACCTCCCCGGCGCCACAACATCCTCAGACACAACGTGGTGGCTTTGGATCTCAAAACGACCTTCCCGATCTCGATACAGTTGAAGATATGGAAATGGATGACCCTTTGGCAGATAATGCTTTCCAAGATCCACGATCCCGAGATAGTCCCATGCAAGGTAGATTTGGGCAACAAAATCAAGGACGCCTAACGCCACTCAACCTAAGTATGCTACAAGGACATCAGGGCCTACGGAATTCCCAGCCAGGCACCCCCGTTACGCCTGGGAGACCGCTTCAAAACAACCCAACCGTATCCTCAGTCAATACCCCTACCCTCGTCACACACCAGCTACAGCAACAACAAAATTCCGGGTACCGTGGCACGCCAGATTCTTCTACGCCGGGGACACCCGCCGAAATTGACGAGTCGATCATTGGAGAGTTTGGAGACATGTCGATGTTGCAGAATAACGCGCTAATGGGAAGCCAGGGACAATTTCCAGGCTATGGAGGCGGAAATGACATGCTGAATCTCTGTATCGACGAACCAGCCAAGCGATTGTTTAGCCCGACTGGCGGGTTCAATCAGCAACAAAATATGCTCAACAGGCTAGGAAGTCAGCCGTACGGACCTAACAGCCAAATCGCGCAACGGATTCGAGAACAGCAGCTTCGTGCAGGTGTACCAGACACGATTGGGCTGCTACCGAATGAAGAACCTAAACCATTTAGATGCCCAGTCATAGGTTGCGAGAAAGCATATAAAAACCAGAATGGTCTAAAATACCACAAGGCGGTAAGTATTCTTCTCAACCATGTTCTCCCTTTTTTTTTATTATTCCCACCCCCCTTTTCGTCTCTCCTCTAACCATGTCATCCGGATTATACAGCACGGCCACAACAACCAACAACTTCACGATAATGCGGACGGAACCTTCTCAATCGTCAATCCAGAAACATGTACGCCTTACCCAGGGGCCCTGGGCATGGAGAAAGAAAAGCCATTCCGCTGCGAAGTATGCGGTAAACGGTACAAGAACCTCAACGGCCTCAAATACCACAGATCACATTCACCGCCTTGCAACCCAGAACTCCAACTCGCCGCTGGTCGTAACCTTGGCGTGGGTGGGGTAATGCAAGGGCAAAATATTAACGTCGCCGGAGCTGGACTCCCTGGGATTGGCGAGGAAGGACTGTAGCAGCAAAGACAGCCTTCCCCTCCCTACTGAATTAAAAAAAAAATCACAGGCAAAGTGAAATGACGAAAAAAAGTCTCCTCCCCTCTTCTCCCACTTTCCTCACCGCGGCCACCGCTTTTTTATTTCATTTACAAAGGAGTTTACATTTATTTATTTTATTTATATTTTACCTTCTATTATTATATTCTTACCTTTTACCCTTTTTTTTTTTTTTTTTTTTTTTTTTTTTCCTTCTAACTCTGCCGCCACCGATATTTCGACCAGAGGGACCCGCCACGACAGCACCAGAGGGACCGACCTCCCCCTTCCCTCCCTCATACGATCCGACAGGAACTTCTAGTCCAACCATTACCGGCTAATTTTCCTCCGTTTTCCTGAATCTTTCCTGCTCTTCTTTACATTGTCTTACATGCTCTACTATTACATCTCTTCCTCTCTCTCTGTTCTTTTTTGCCCACCTCTGCCACGGCCTATTCACTACCCCATCAATCACCTTTTCCATCTGTACATAATACGTACATAGGACATATACTTTTCCTTCGTCCTTTTTCTTTTACATATCATCTTCCCTCTATTCATTACATTTTGTCTAATGATTTCTGGGTAGCTGGTTTGGTTGGCGATGAGGGGGGACCGGTTTTGCGGATTCAGGTATTGTTTTTTTCTTGTTTCTTAAGTCTTTCTGTGTTAAAAAAAGAAAATAAAAGAAAATAAAAAGAAAAAAAAGGACCATTTTTCTTCACTTCTTCTATTCATCATTACTTGTAATCCCTTTTTTTGTTTTTCATTGTCTTTCATTGTTATTATTGTTTGTTCATCTGCTTCACAATGTTTTGTTACTTACTATTTATTTATTGTCACAGGGTGCAATTGTTCATTTCACATATTCAAAGTGATGTTGACAGGCTGTTTTTTTTTTTTTTTTTTTGTATATTTGTTTATCACCTTCTCACTTACTTCTGTCAGTGACTTTTTTCTCATCTTTTAATCTCATTATATGTTATAAAAATATGAATAGACTTTTCTTCATCTATTCTTCTCTTTCTATCCCTCTCTTTTTTTATCACTTTTCTTCTCATTTCTCATTTCCGGATATTTTTTTCTTGCCTGACCATCTCTGCTTTGATTATATTTCATGTGCAAATTGTATAGAATAATCTTGTCTACATTAGCTTGTTTTTATGTTTTTGAAAACAAAAATAAAATCAAAAAGTACATGTCTTCTCTTCTATTTTACTCAGTTGTATTCAGCTTTTATCTTCTTGAAGAGAAATTTAATGAAAAATTCTATTAATAAAAGTCTTTTTTCCATCTCTTTCTATCTCACTTCTACTAGTAAGCTTTCTTAGATTCTATTTATATACATATATATCTATGAAGATGTGAAATAAAAGTTCTAGCATAGTCTATTAACTAATTTAAGCTGATGATGAAGAGATTACTTTCTTTTAACTAGAGTAAACTATTCAGCAATGTAAACTATTCAGTAATAATTTCTTACTCTGCTGACATCTGTAGAACCTGTTACAAAGAGACTTAAGCTTCTAAACAATGAAAGTACAGGCTGAAGCAATATTAATAATGTATTTCTAGTGTGTGTAAGAGCTTTTGTTTCTCTCTGTGCAGGTTATAGATATGCAAATCATGTCAACAGAAAGAGAGAAAAGAGAAGATAAGTTTACAGAATTAATTGTCATTTATTTACTTTTTAATTTTTAATCATCTCACTTCTTTTCTTCTCTCACTCTCTCTTCTTCTTCATCTCAGCTTTTTATCTCTTTATTCAATCATTCTCTCAATCTGCGTACATGCAAGACAGCTACAAAGCAGAAAATTGAAAGATGAAAGGGGAAAAAAATACACTAGAAGTTGAGACAGTAGTCAAAGCTCTGCCATAGAAGATAAACAAAAAAGCGAAGTCAAGTTCAGAGCATCATTGAGAATAATTGAACTTGAGAGAAGAAGGAAAATTCACCACAAGATAGAAGAAAAAAAAAAAAAAAAAAGTAAGATTCATCTCCAGCTACTTACCCACCACTATAGAATCAAGTGAAAAAGATAAAAAGAAGCACAGAAACCCAAAAAAAATTACAACACAAGTTATGTCCATGTCATGCTGGGGCAGGTTCATAGATATTAGAGACACATGAAATATACAAGAGAAGCTGGCAAGGAACAGGGAAGACAGACAGAGTCATGCCACATTAATGAGAAACAGGAACAGAAACAAAGAAGAAGGGGCAAAAAAGAAAAACACCAAATTACATCACTGCATGGGAAATTTTTTGGAAACTTTCTTCCCTTTCATTAACCATTGTTGGCCGAGTTTCTTCATGAATTTCCAAGCTGTAAATAAATTTTTTGAGTTTGGTAGTTATGGGCTTTGACAGGGTCGAGGCTGTTAATTTCGCGCTGATTTGTTGGAAGACTTTAGGTGATATATGTATGTCTGTATGATCTTGCTTGAGTCAATGCAACCATGAGGGAATGGTAAAAAGTAATGGGGTCATTGAGGGGTATAATGAAGCCAAAAAATGAGGGGGAAAGTGGGGGGAAACGATTGCGAGATTTCGTCAGATGATGGGTAATTAAGTCTAATTCACTTTCTAGTACCACTCGAATTCGCCCTGGCCTTTATGGAACACATATCTAACGGAAAAGAAGGGAAAGGGATATTAGTTTTACCATATCTCATAATGTCAGAACAGGGTAAAACTCACTCTTTACCCCCAGATGTAAGAATTCCATCCTTCAACGTGCATTTCCATTTACTCTTGACGCGTTGGACTTTATCATACGTGCACAGCATAACTTGTCCAACTGCATCATCGCCGTCGTTGTGGTCATCAAGCATGTCTTCCGAGTCATCGAGATCGGAGTTGATAGCGTCTTCGTCTGCCTCCTCCTGCCGTCCGGTGTTTCCATTGAACTCATCTGGTCCGTCATACTGACTTGATACAACAATATTACTGGATGAAGGGGATGGGTTTGCTGGAGATGCAAAAGCGGAGGGATCGTTCATGACGTGTGCCTTGCGTTTTGTCCCCTTGGTAAAGCTTGGTTGCTCGCTCAGGGGTGCCAGCAGCCCACCAGCCTCCAGCTGTAGGCCCCTGGATTCCACGTAAGAGCGGATGAAATGGTCATCGCCGCTGTTTTTTCTGTTCACGTGTCTTTGGGCAGCTTCTCTCCTGCGTGCGACCTCCGTTTTCCATTCTTGTAACGAGTCGCTAGCGCCGTCTGTTTGGGAAGGGTTCATTGGGGGTCTCTGCTGTTGCGGAGGCTGTTGATGCGGCTGTTGTGGCTGTTGTGGTTGTTGTGGCTGTTGTGGTTGTTGTGGTTGTTGTGGTTGTTGTGGTTGTTGTGGTTGTTGTGGTTGTTGTGGTTGTTGTGGTTGTTGTGGTTGTTGTGGCTGTTGCGGCTGTTGTTGAGCTGGATTCTGATAATGTTGCGGCTGTTGAAGTTGTGGCTTTTGATCCTGAGGAAAGTGGACTGGTCTACCGGGAAGCTTCTGACCTCCTGGAAGTGAGAGGGCAGCCTGCGACTGGGACTGCAGCTGATGCACCTGGTTTGCCGCAGCTGCTCCATACCTCTGATGTAATGCATTCGCCGCACGCTGCTGCGCGAGAGTTGACGGATTTACTGGGGGTAGGCTTGATGCAGTAGGCGGATAGCCTGGCTCTGATTTGATACGTATATCGCCAGCTGATGTCTCAGGGGCTGAGGTAGGGACATGGGAAAAGGGAAGTGGTTGAGCTTGCTGGTGTGATTGCTGGGGCTGCCGCTGATGTGGTTGTTGGTGTTGGAGATGGTGTTGGTGTTGGAGTGGTTGTGATTGTGGTGGTGGTGGTGTGGTGCGCGGGCCATTGGAGGGAACTGTTGTCGGGGGTGGAGGAATAGGGGCTTGCACATGCGGTGGGTGAGCCTGCGGGGGTTGCTGAGGCGGTGGGGGAGGTTGCGGCGCAGGATCCCAAGGGAAATGGGCAACCCCAAGTGAAGATAGCTTCTTCCGCCATCCCTGAACGAACAGCAACACAATTCAGCATTAGCATTGGCATCAAATTAAAAACAAAGTCGTAGCACCCAAGCGGGTAGATGTAGATGATGATGCGAAGTGCTGCTTAGTCATGCGGATGCCTGCCGGACCACTAAAGCGGCAATACCACAACGCAATCTGCCTGCGACAAAGGACAAGAGCAATTTTGCCCGCATCTTGTCCTGCCTGGAGCCACACGCGGGCCAAGGCAGCCGTCAGCCGCCGGCGCCCAGGGTGGGTGGACTCCTTATTAAAAGCAGGCCTGGATTCCCTTTAAACAGCGCAGTTCCCTCGGTTACCACTCACTCCGCGAGGACCAACGCCAGGTATCCGGGTGGCCTATCAACACCACCGCCGCATCCACATTCGTCCATCCATCCATCCATCATCATCATCATCATCATCATCTTGACGGAGAAAGAGTGAAACAAAAGAAGAACAGGAACATCACGAACTAACCTTCCTCAAATCTTCCAACGTCTGCTGGTCAACGCCGCCCTCCTCAAAATCGATCTGGGACGAGTCGCATACTTCTTGGATGACCTTATCGAACACAACGCCCTAATTTGCCAAAAACGGAAAAAAGAAGAGAGGATATGTGAGTCTCACAGAAGCTAGTGCATTTTGGCTAGGTATGGAATGGGAAGGGAAGCTTGTTCTCTCTCTCTCTCTCCGGCTTTTTACTTACCACCTGCTGGTTGGACATCGCTGCGACAAGAGACGGAAAAGCGCGCGCAACCACAAAGGGATGATAGGAAGGGATATATACGGCCTCAAGAATGAAGGGAGCTTAAGAAAGAAAGGAAGAGGAAAAAAGAGACAAGAAGTATGGCTCTGTCGATTGTGTTGGTTGATTTGATTTTTTCAAACTCTCTCTCACTTCCCGCGACCCGTTTTCTCGGGAAGAAGCTCACCCGCTAACCTTATCCCAGACCCTCTCGTAAAGAAAATAGCAAAGAACAAGTGAGCAGAAGTGAAAGCTCAGTAGATTAATCCCGATACGAGTTTTATAAATGTGTTTCTGGCGCTGAAGCGATAGGTGGCGGGCTTCTTCGCATCCGTGGCCGGCTGCTTGGTCGGATGGTGAAGAAGGGAGAAATCGTATTTATAGTGGAAATTGTATCAACGGTCAGATTGCTTAGTCAGCGGACCATGGGTGGTAGTTAACCACCACTCCCAGAGCCATCTACCTGCTCGCTCTCATTCTCATTCTCTCGCCTTTCTTATCGGCTTAGTCCCGACATCTCAGATACAGTGCTTTTTGCGCGCTCTTCTGTTCTTATTTCTGTCGTGCGAAGGTACGCTTGAGATCGTGCGCCGGTGTACTCTTGAGCTCCGAGAATCACAGTAACGATGCATGCTACTTATTGCGAATGCTCTATCTATACCCTCCCCAACATTTATCTGAAAAGAAAGGCTGGCCCACTAAATAGACCCATATTGAGTGGAAAAGGTAGAAAATGAAACCCAAGCAGCAAACGAGAAATTAAACTTGCTATCTAACAAGAAAGACCCCGAAAACTAAGCCAGAATTGAACAGCAAAAACAGCTAACAACAAAGCAGAAACAGAAACAAAAGCAAAACATATTAGTTATGGTTATCGACAGAAAAGAAAAAAAGAAAAAGAAGAAAGAAACACACGCCGCTTAGAATGCCAGGAGTTACGCTCTTCATATCCGGCCCAAAAGAGTTCTAAGGGGCCATACAAGATGCTTTGAACACCTCAATGCCCTACCAACGAGAGAGACAAAGCAACCCTGAACGCCAAGAAAATGGATGAGCCGCTCATACCCCGACAATAAGCCGATTTACCTTTTATTTACCGAATCGTCATTTGCTTAGCCATCTGGCTTCCTTTAGATCCAACAGCTCCCTCCCTCGAAGCAGCAGCCGTGGTGCCGGGCTTACGCTCGAAAACTTTCCAGAATTTAAGACTCTCATCGGCAGCTAGAGGAATTAAAGTTAGCGACAAGACCATAGTAAAAGAAGAAAAGGCATAGTTAAGCGGAACGTTAGGTTATTAAGACAGACATACCAGCTGTAGCCAACATCTGCCCATCAGGGCTGAGACAGCTGTGCAGCACACGTGTTTCATGAGCGGGGATTTCCACGTTGCGGACCAGGGAAGGATAGCTCCAGATGCTCAGGGAGTTGTCGGGGAAACCGCTGGAGCTCACAAGCTCGCGGTAGTGGTTGCTCCACCGAAGACTAGTGACTTGGGAACCGGTGTCAATGCTGTTGGTGCGGGCGCCAGTGGTGGTGTTCCAGAAATGGATGTGGCGGTCATAGGAGCCACCTCCGGTAGCAAGGAGATTCAATTGCCAGGGACACCAGCTAAGAGCCTTCACAGCGGCACGGTGATTGGTTTTGGTGAATTTGGGCGCGCTGAGGGATCTGGAGTCCCAGATTGAGACGAGGTTGTCATTTCCTCCCGTGGCAAGCTGGGCACCGTCGGACCGCCATTCAAGGCCGCAGACCTCGGATGTGTGCGAAACAAGCTCAGCAGTCTTGTGCTGGGCAATGCGAACATCATGGTTGAAAACGAGTCCACTTCGCGCACCAGTGGACAGCGTGTGCTTGTTCCATCCCATAACACCGACACGGGTCTCATGGCCAAACATGCTCCTCAACTTGCTGCCTTCCTCAACATCCCAGATCTGGACTTCTCCTGTGCCGAGCCCGACGCCAACATAAGCTCCATCGCCACTCCATTTCACACTGCTGACATAGGTGTCAGGTGAGGTTTCAAGAAGGCAGTTGACAGAGCCGGTCTCCGCGGACCACACATAGACGTTGCGTTCGAGGCCAATTGCGACTTGGTTACCAGAACTCCAATCGAGGAGGTTGAGATAGTAATCATCAACTAGGCCTGGGGCATCCAAAACACGTTCTGGGGCCGTTTGAACTCGTCGCCTGAACTGTGCAGATTGGGAATTGGCGGGTTTAAGAGGACGGTTGTACTGGGAGCGGAGGTCAATTGGCTTGGATGATTCTGGAGGAGGGGGTTTGAACGCAAGAATACGAGTGTTCAGGGAAATGTTGCATGCGTCCGCAAGGGATGATTTGTATGCAACAGCATCTGGCGCAGGCCGAGAATAGGTGGGGTTGTCATTATCATCGAGGCCAAGATTCTCCAGAGCACTGGCGATGTCGTCATCGCTATCGCTGCCGCCAATGTGGAATGCACTAGCGGCATTTGCTAGCACAGTAGAGCCTTCGCTAGTCTTTGGCCGTTGGTGCTCGTCTGGCTTGGCAGTTCCCGCAGTCGCAAGACACTCGCTGGCCGAACGGTTCGGAATAAAACGATCTGCTGAATTATGCGGAAGACGAATGGTTGTCTTTGAATTCCTTGAGCGGAAGGTAGTATCCTTTTTCTTGGTCGGTGTTTGACCGGTGGCTGGGCCAGTTCCAGTCAACGTCCAATCAGAAACGCCCAGCTCCAAATGGCGGGGAGATTTTCTGGTTTTGGCAATATTCGACTTTGGAGAATCCCGGTGAGTTCTTGACACAGTTCTTGAAACAGATTTGGCAAAGTGAGAGGAGAGATTACCACCATACACCGACTGAGAAACCACTCGGGTTGAGTCGGATGATTGGCGTGGAGGGGTGAAGGGGGAGGAGTGATTCGACACATTAGTTGCCAGGCTAGACGTTCTTGATCTGGGCGAAGGTGTCAAGGGCATGCGGCCACCGGCCGTCTTGGAGGAGAAAAGTCCATGGTGACTCTTTAGAGGAGTCGACACGGAAGCAGTAGCCATCATATATGACTGCGAATTCGAGCGACCCGAAATTACTCAACCCCAAAAGCCAGGGCCAACAAGGGTCAAATTTAACGCTGAAGCCGTTTTCCAGAACAACCTGGGCGTTCTTTTACAGAGAAATAATTGGGGAGAGGGGGAAGGGGATCGTGTGCAGTACGTCTGGATGTATAACTACTTGAAATAGCTATGTTCGACAAAGATAAATGGATGGAATTCGGTCAACACAGAGGATAAACAAGTAGGGATACAAGGTAGCGGATATAGAGAGATATAGTGGAGGAAAAGCACCGATGGAGGATATGGATGAAGAGAAGATGAAGCAAAAGAAGCAGAGGAGGAAGTAGAATTCCCCCGCGAATAAATATTTACATCGACTTAGCGCAATTTGATCGCTACGGCAACCGCTGCTGAGATAAGCCGCGGATGCATCGGGTCTAGTGTGTGTTACCTCATCAATGCTCTTGCCAAGCCGCTAGTCAGAGTTTTGTGCCAAGACCCTTCGCTGCGGCAAACTGGACAAACTGCCGCCCAACTCCTCAAAACATCGACGTCAACTTATTAGTACAGAGGCTTTGAAATACTGCAAAGCCTCTGGGGATGCGACTGCGCAACGCCATGGTCCTGTTGCAATCTGCGTGATCACCAACTTCTTCTTGGTCAAATTGTCTCGTTTTAGCAGGTTTATATTACCTTGCTGCCCATCATGGCACATGAACTCTCATCTCCATCGTCTAGAGCTACTCCTAGTAGTAGTTCATACTCAGCAGCTCAGGCAACACAGGTCGGAGGCAGTAGTGGCAGCAGCTGGGGAGGCTCTTCGACATTGGCTACCTCAGGCATCGCATCCTCCTCGTCATTGACGTCTCATTCTCTACAAAATAATGACAATTCCTACCTTATGCCCACTAGTCCTCCCAAAGGTCGCCGCGGGAGTGGTGATGGCTATCGTCCCGCAGTGAAGAGGTCCACTGGAAACCCCCCTGCATGTCTCGTCAACGCCTCTGTCACATACTGTGGAAATAACCAAATATATGCTTTTGGAGGCTTCGACCAGTATACCGATGAAGGTCAGGGAGATTGCTCCTGCGCTGTGCTGCATCTCTTGGAATCCTGAACAGATCTAATATTTTGACGCTTTGTCTATGCAGTTTACAACCATGTTCTCCGATTAGATCTTACAACTCTTAGGTGGAATCTAGTTGATAATTATGGAGACATTCCCGGCGTCAGGATGGGTTAGTTCTCCTCGACTCCTTGTTTGCTATAGTAATAGCTTGGGCGCATGACTGACATGAGAAAAATCACCTTTAACCAGGACATACCGCTTCTCTTTACCAAGGAAATAAATTGATTGTGTTTGGCGGGGAGAATGAACATCGCGAATACCTCTCCGACGTCGTTATCCTGGATATTTCTACGTCCACCTGGACATCACCTGAAATACGTGGACCGATACCCCGTGGAAGAGCACGGCACGCCTCTGTGATTTACGAAGACAAACTTTTTGTGGTTGGAGGAATAACTGGGGGAATAACCGGCGAGACAAATGTTATCCTGGATGATATTTGCTATCTTGACTTGAAGACGTGGACTTGGTCTCGTTGGTGGAGATTTGTGGCTCGTTTCGATCACACGGCCTGGATCTGGGGAGGTCGCCTTTGGGTTTTTGGGGGTCTCGGTTCAGATATGGAGCGCGGTACGGATCTTTGGTGGTTGGACTTGAAAGGCATCCCGTCTTTCAGGATCTCATCGTCACAAGGTACCGTCGAACCCCCAGGAACTCTTGCTAGGGTGACTCACAGCCCCGCAGCCCAGTATAGTCCTACCCCTGCCCTCCAAGGGCGTCCTGGTGGATATGCCGCCAATTCAGCCAGTGTGCAAGTTAGAACGCTGAGCCGCCGAAAACTACTCACAGCTCCTGGTGCTATTTCTTCACTCAAATTCCACTCCGGCCCTCACGTACCTACGCTCCTATCCGGCACGCACTTCCATGTGTACTCATCCGGTGTTCTTCTCGATATTGCAACCCCTTCAGAGACCGTTCAACCGTGGGATGTCAATCTCGCTTCTCTGGAGCTTGATTCGTTAAGGTGGCAGCGTCTAGCGGATGGGCAAGAAATATTCAAACCTGGATACCGGTGGCATTATTGCACCCTCAATGAGGATGGTACTAGAGCGTGGCTTCTTGGATGTAGCCTTGAGGTTCCAAACGCCACTGGTGCTGGAGACGAAAATCGCCTAAATCAGGTGCTCCTAATCAATCTTGAGCGGTACGGTCTCCTTGGGAACGACCTCACGTTTGAATATTCCGAACAAGCCAGAATACTTGCATCAGAACGACAGGAAGCGCCACGGCCACGCTGCACCAGCCTAGGAGCCGATTTAGTTGCGGTATTTGACCAACCTCCCGAATCTGGGAGCGGAACGGATTTTATCATTACCGCAGACCATGACGATGATGCACATCATCCAGAGTCTAGTGATTCGATCATGTCGCCATCTTCTTCCCATGCCCAATCCACATTTCTTACAAGCACCGACTCAACGTCCCAGCCCATTCACGTTCACAGGATAATTCTACAAGCCAGATGGCCACACTTTAAGCGCCTTTACTCTGCTCAAATGGCAGAATACCACACGAAGAAGATGCACATCCCCGAACCATATTCTGTCGTCCGTGCTTTTCTTTACTATCTGTACACGGACAGCATCGCTGGACATCCAGAGTACTGCTCAGATATTACTGAAGTGGCAGGCATGCTAGTAATGGCTAACCTTTATGACATGCCCAAACTCCGTCTGCTCTGTGTCAATCGGCTCAGCCGGGAACTGGACGTCGACAACGCAGCGATCATTTGGGATCGCGCAGGACGGACGAATGAGGAATGGCTGAAGCGCCGCGCAGCATCCTTCTGCCTCGCCAACTGGGGCCGCGTTGTTAGAACGGAGGGGTTCCGTAACCTAAGCAGGCAGAGCCTGATGGAGCTATGCGAAGTGGTGGATATGGAGGGGCGGGTGGTTCCGGGCCATGAACTTGAGCTTGTTAGTGAGTTGGACGGGTTCGGGTCGGGTGCGGACAATAAGCAGAATCACGTTGCAGCTGGCTCTGCGCCAGGGCCGGGGATGGAAGACCTTGATGAGGGTGATGGAGATGAGGATGATGGCATGGAGCTATCATGACGGGATAGTATAGGACATACTGATGGGTTGCAATAATGGGATAAATGTTTCGGGGTTATATCTTTTTCTCCCGCTCGAAAGTTTACCACTGTATGAACTGGCATGGCGTGGGATAGGTAATTAGGTTTGTTTGCGGGTGTTTTTCCTTTCACTATTTTACTATTCGGCAAGTGGTTTGTCCTTTACTTAGTTTTTATATCCTTCCGATACATTTGCATTCATTTTGTTTGAACTCCTTTTTTTGTTTCAGGTTGTACCAGCATAGAGCTCCAAGAGTGTTTAAATAGTTGTTTAGATATCGTATGGCATTGAAACATGATTGCAATACTCCGGACATTTTTAGCCTTTACCCGCGACGTGAGGACGTCTCGATGATAGCTGCAGATCCGGATCTCATTTAGCTCTGACTGGAGATGTGGAGGTATATAACTAAGTGGACTGCAATGGCTGGCACTGTTGCAGCTTGAATGGGATATTTATACGCTTGTCTACCGTGCTGTCTACCGTGTTCATCTCCCTTCAGCCTGCCGCTGTTTTCTGTCCCTTGACGATATTTAAGAGAGACATATTGTGTTGTCTTGATAGTGTCCAGCGTACACTTTTGAAACAGGAACCAATTATTTCTTGCGTAAATACAACTAGAAGAAAAGTGAAATATATATTCCTGCCTTACTTGAAAAACTTCATCATGTCTACGACTACTTCCAAACTCCCTTCGGACTTCCTGTGGGGGTTTGCGACAGCTAGGTACGAAAAGCAGCCCATTTGCTTAAGTTTATTCTTACACCTTGTTATTGTATGCGATTGGTGTGGCCACTGGGATATACCCAACTAACCCAATTCTCAAACTTCTTCAATTCTTGTTGATAGCTATCAAATTGAAGGAGCTATTGAAGCTGATGGCCGTGGGCCTTCGATCTGGGATACTTTCTGCAATATCCCCGGGAAAATCGCGGATGGGTCCTCTGGAAAGACAGCTTGTGACTCGTACAATAGGACCTCTGAGGATATTGCGCTTTTGAAATTGTGTAGAGCGGGGGGGTATCGATTTTCTCTCTCCTGGTATGTTTCCCTTTTGCTTGGGTGCCTGCAGAGCTCGTTCCCATCTTCCGAATTGACAGGAAGAATATTCTAATACGTTATATCCAAAATATGGGGATGGAGATAAAGGTCCCGAATCATTCCTCTAGGAGGTCGAAATGACCCGATTAATGAGAAGGGGCTGCAGCACTATGTGAAATTCGTCGACGATCTGCTTGCTGCTGGGATCACTCCCATAGTCACATTGCTACACTGGGACCTACCGGACGAGCTACATAAGAGATACGGAGGCTACCTTAACAAGAATGAGTTTGTTGCCGATTCCGCCCGCTATGCTCGCGTTGTCTTCAAGGAATTGAGTCCTAAGGTTAAGTATTGGATTACTTTCAATGAGCCATGGTGCAGCTCGATTCTGGGCTATAATACGGGTCAATTTGCCCCGGGTCGTTGTAGTGATCGGTCCAAGAGTGCCGAGGGCGATAGCAGCCGCGAGCCCTGGATTGTTGGGCATACCCTCCTTGTTGCTCATGGTGCTGTAGTGAAGATTTACAGAGAGGAGTTCAAGGCTCGAGATGGTGGGGAAATTGGCATTACGCTCAATGGTCCGTTTGATTTCTGCTCCCGGAACAACAAAGGGGGTTTTAAAACAATTCTTCGGATATCAATGCTGATATGTATGACCAAATTTACAGGCGACTGGGCTCTACCCTGGGACTCGGAGAACCCAGCCGACGTCGAGGCAGCAAACCGAAAACTCGAATTCTCCATCTCATGGTTTGCTGATCCCATATACTTCGGCAAATACCCGGACAGCATGCTCAAGCAGCTAGGAGACCGCCTACCCACCTGGACAGAGGCAGATCGCGCCCTCGTCCAAGGAAGCAATGACTTCTACGGCATGAACCACTACTGCGCGCACTTTATCAAGAACAGAACCGACGAGCCGGCCCCGGGTGATTTCTTTGGAAACATAGAGAGCTTGATGGAAGACAAGAACGGAAACCCTGTCGGCCCGGAGACGCAGTCCGAGTGGCTACGTCCGTATCCGTTGGGCTTTCGTAAATTGCTAAAATGGTTGAGTGATCGATATGGCCGGCCGAAGATCTACGTTACGGA